CCCGGTACACGGAACCATCCCTCGGAGACGTGTTATGGCCCTGCGACCGCGCACCCCCGGGGCTAGGGCTCTCTAGCCCGTAACCCGATGCCGAGCGGGCCCGGCCAACTGGGTGCGCTTCTCAGCTCCCCGGTCCTGGGCATGAGGTTAATGACCGCACTCCAAGTGCTCCAAGTGTGCGCCCCCCTCACTTAGCTCTTAGGGCTCAGGGCTCTCTAGCCCGTAGCCCGATCCCAATCATCCGGCCCGCTGGGTGCGCTTCTTAGCTCCCCGGCCCTGGATGTGCGGGTAATGACTGCACTCCAAGTGCTCCAAATATGCTAAAATCTCTCTCCCCCCCAGCCGTAGCTTTTGGCGCTTGGGCAACGATGTCACAAAGAAACCCGGGGACGCAACTAGCGCTCGCTCTCGCTCTGCGGCGCCTCGCGCTCGGTGGCCCCTCCGCTCTCCTCCTCGCCGCGCCGCATGAAGCGCAGCCCCTCCTCGTCCACCCGGCTGAGCTGCCTAACGAGCGAAGCGGAGCGTGGTGAACGAGCCAGCGAGCAGGCAGCCCCTCCTCGCCCCCCGGGCTGGACCTCGCCCACCGCGGGCTGGGGTGCCGCGCGTTGATCTGCGCCTCGAGCCAGCTGTACTCGGGCCGCGACGGCAGCGCGCCCTCGTGCAGGATCGTGCCCTCCGACCCGTCATCGAGGAAGACGAACGCGCACCAGCCGACCCCGTGCTCGCCAACCTACTCCTCGCAGCTTCCGTTTGACGCGGGGCCGCTCTTGCTTCCTCGGCCGACCCCTTGCTCGCCCGCCAGCTTGACGTCCTCGCCGCGGCAGGCAAACTCCTCAAAGGCGAAGCTGCACTCGTAGCCCCTCTCAAAGACGACGGAACGCGCCTCGCCCCGCTGCCAGAGCGAAAAGTCCTCGAGCCGCTTGAACTGCGGGTTGAGCAGGCAGAGCAGGCGGTCCGCACCCGCCATCCCGTCCACCTCGCGCAGCCTGCCGAGCTGGTCACAGCCCGCAAAGAGGCAAACCGCGGCGTCCTCAGCTGGCGTGGCGCCCTGGCGAGGACAACGAAGCAAGGTCAACACTGCACCACCACACATCGGTCTCGCGCCCGCAGCCTGTCCGCTGCCTGCGCCAGGACGAGGCCGCACGCGTCCTCCGCGTCGAGCACCTGGTCGGTGATGAGCCGCTCGCTCGCGCCGGTGACGCCCTGGAGCAGCTCTCGGGCGAGGCCGAGAGCGATCGGGTACTGCTGCTTGAGGCCGCCCGGCCACGGATCGAGGTCCTCCGGCGCCGAGGTGCCCTGTATCGGCACGGCTCCGAAGACCTTGTACGAACGCTGGTCGTCGGGCACAACCAGCTTGACGATCTGGCGCCTGACGCCGGCCTGTGACGCGCGCGTCACCGCCGCCGCCGCCCGCCGCACCATCTCGTCGGGAGAGCGCGGGATCGTCAGCACGGCGCCCAAAAACGGCACGGTGAGAGCGACGAGCATAAGACACAGGACACAGAGCGGCACCTCCTCCGGGTTTGTGTTTTTTTGTGGTTTTCGAGGTCGAACTACCCCCCCCCCCCCAGACTGAGTGTCTTGTCTTGTGGTTCTGTGTGTCGCTCCTGTGTGACCGTCATCGCCCGTCTAGCGTCCACCCATACCGCGTTGGTGTCCCAGTCGTTGGTCGGACTGTGTTTCGCCTTCGTCCCATCAAGAGCGGCCGCACACTGCTCGGCAAACAAACAAACAACATGACGTGTGAGTGTTAGAGTTGTTTGGTATTGCTAAAAATCTCTCTCTCTCTCTCTGCTCGGTACCCCCCCTGCACAACTAAGCTCATGGCCAACCCCCCCCCCCCAGCAGCAGCGCTCTGCTGCTGGGGGGGTCGAGACCCCCCCCCAGCAGCAGCGCTCTGCTGCTGGGGGGGTCGGGACCCCCCCCCCAGCAGGAGCGCTCGCTCTGCCTGTGTGGGGGGTGCTGGCATCTGTACAGACAGCAGCTGTAAGTTGCATGCGTTCCAGTGGCGAGAATTTATGGTCGGCATCAAAATCAGTGGTCTCACCGGCGGGCCCTCCTACTGCCAACCGGGAGGTGCGGGGCACGCCAGCCTCTCTTCTACGCCTCTCGTGCCTCGCGGCGCCTCTGCTTCAAGGGGGGAAGATACGGCTCTCGCAGCCCATCATAGTTACGCCGTGGCACAGCGGGGATCACAGCGGGCTGTACAAGATATTGTTCCCTATCTTCGCATGCTCGTCATTGGTGATATCCGTGCGAGGTCATACGCCACAGGCCAGCAATCACTCGATGATGAGACTACACTGATGTATAGGCGCACATGTGGTATTACAAGATAGACTCACATGGTCACAAGTGTTAGTAAAACGCCAGCACTCGACACGACGAAGGTGTATTGGGCTCGAAGGCGCGGTGAACACAACCGCCTCGAGCGTACCGCTCAAATACGAGCCGAGGGAGGAGGGGGGGGGGGGGGGGGGGGCCCCCAAAAAAACGGGAAAACTGGGCCCCGGGCCCCCCCCTGCTGGGGGGGTCGGGACCCCCCCCCAGCAGCAGCGCTCTGCTGCTGGGGGGGTCAGACCCCCCCCCCTAGCAGCAGGGATGAGCTTAGTTGTGCAGGGGGGGTACCGAGCAGTGTGCGGCCGCTCCAATCAATCAGCCAGACTGTCTGTGCTTGTGCGTCTTGGGGTTGTGTTTTTCTGTCGAAGGCGAGGTCGAACTACCACAGCACCGCGGCAGCAGTTTCGTGTCGTGGCTGGCCACATCTGCCACGTTTGTGCAGTGCTTCTTCCGAATTCCTACTCGTAACCCGGCCGGTGAAACCCACGCTAACCCGGCGCTTATCGACAGACTACTCACACCAGAGGAGAGAAATCGAACAAATGGCGTTACCCTTATAAGTCTCTCGTGTCCGCGCCGGCGCTGTTTTAAGGATTCTTTTAACTGTGAATCGTGCGTGTGCGAGAGAGTTTTGTTGTAAAATTCTTTTAACCGTAGAACGTCCCCCACCTGAACACCGCCCGCCGACGATCGATCAGTCCACAATCGTAGGCCCGCACCCCGCAGCGACCCGCAGCGATGGATGCCGCCCCCCACGGCCCCTACGGCCGACGCGCCGATGCACGACCGGCCTCCGTCGGACGGCTCTCCGGCCTCTCCGGCCGCTGCCGCCCGCGCAGCCGCGCTGCTGCCGATCCGGTCCCCTTGTGGCGGGCCACCCTGTCCAGAAAGGCATGGATGCCAATCTGGGGTCTCTCGACCGAGTCTATGAGTCCTGGCCGCTCCCGGTGATGGTTAAGGCTGTAGAACCACGCGACGGAGATGGTGCGGGGGTACGGGTGTTCCAGGAGGTCACGACACGCACCGACCCTTCACGAACCGAAAGGCTGCACCCGGGGAAGGCACAGTAATCCGGCACCGTGTTGGGCGCCCCGTTCCGTCTGGGGCTAGGTCGGCTCAGGGCCCCGTCCACCTCCCTCCCACTTGGCGCGTGATGATGAGGAGGTGCCACCCAGACCAGCCAGGGCAAGGGCGGAGGGCGAGGGCGGAGGGCGGGATGGGCGCCAAGCGGGAGGGAGCGGGCGGAGTGGAACGTACAGATGGGGGATGGTGAAGGCGGAGGGGCGGGAAGCGGGGAGGACGGCGGGAGGGTGGAAGTCGGCATGGGCGGGCGGTGGGTGGTTTGGTAGGGCAGGGGGGAGGGCGAGGGGTGGAGTAGGGGGGCGGTGGGGACGGGGGCGGCGAAGGAGAGGGTTGCGGCGGGAAAGGGAGCGTGGGGAGGCTGGCGGAGGCGTGGGCGAGGTGGAGGGTGGCGGCGGCGTGAGGGGTGGCGGCGGCGGTGTGGTGGAGGTGGAGGGCGGCGGCGGCGTCGGCTGGCGGGCGGTACGGCCGCCGGCGGCCGCTGCACCCGCGCCTTCCCTCGCGGGCGCCGTCGCGCCGCGCGCGCCCAACTCTGCTGGCACACGGCACGCGTCGTCACACAACCGCGGAGAACAGGCGGTGCTGTGCGTGAAGCGCGCGCGATCTCGTACTTTTAAGGCTGGATCCGGCCATTCCAAGGGTATACCTTTGAGAATCCCCAGCGTCCCACCCTCCTAGTCACACTCTCAATTTCTCGACTGGCCAACACGAAGTGCTGCGATCGGGGGTGGCCCATTTCTTGTTTCCTTTCTTTTTTTGGGCCCTGTGGGCACCCTAACACTGAGAGAGTGAAGGGGGTGAACCGTGCCATCCTCGATCGCCGTGCAAAGCTCGCTTCCGAGCTCAAAACGCCGCGCGTAGGGCCCTTAGGGGCCTAGAGAACACAACCCCCTCTCTCTTTTCTCCCAGTAAGCTATACGTACGTACACTGAAAATGGGGGAAAACGGGGATTGGCGCCGGAAAGTTTACAGCAAGGTTCGGCGCGATTCGCCGAAATTCTGAGCTCTCCGCGCGATGCGAGAGATTCCCTTTAAGCTGCTCGAGAGCTGACCCTGATCGCGACCGTTGGTACATCACCGCCGGTTTCCTGACCGACGCGCACGAGAACGGCGGAAAGAACGATGTGAGGCTCTTGGTGGGCGAGATGAGCGCGTTCCGGCAGATACATCGGCCGCAGCGAGGCTCGCTCGTAGTTGCAAGCTGTAGATCTGCCATCGACACCCCTACCCCTCATCAAGAGAAACACAGCCCTCCATCCGGCGACAACTTTGATCAACGGGGTTGACTTCTTGTCGCCAAGCACGGCGGCGGCGGCCACTCGCGCTTCATGTGAGCCTCGCCTGCCCTGCCGTCCCCCGCCCCCTTGCCGAGCCCTTCCCTTGACTCCTGCCTCACACACTCGAGCCTCGTTCGCTTCCAGGCGCTGCTCACCAAGGACCTCAACGTCTAGTCGTGTGGGTGGTGCCGGTCATGCCGCGCCGCCCACACGACCACTCAGACTCCACACACGGATAGCTCATGACTAGCTGTGGCCGCGGGCGGGGCCGGGGGAACCTTTGTGGGTTGAAAAAACATTTATCGGAGCGGCCCTGATAATTTGCGTACAAGCCTGAACACCTCGCTCTGCTAATGAGCCGCAGCACCTTCGCGTCCACTGTCCCGCCTGTGTGGCTGTGTTGTGAAACTGTCCCCGATCCGCGAAGCGCGATCCCTCCGAGGCAGCTCAGTGGACATGTCAGTGGAGGCGCGCCAGCTGCTCGATGACACGCGAGAGCTGTTCGGCGGTCATGTCGAGCCCAGCGACGACCTAGGCGCGGTGAGGTGAGGTCAACTCTCCAGACACAAGCGGAGAGGGCCAGGCTAGCCCTCTCGCAGCTGCACACATCTGAAGACAGGAGACCCACAGCTTTGAAAGTGCGAGGCCCGGTGTGCGTGAGCGAGCGAGCGAGCGAGCGAGGCGAGTGTGCGTGCGTGCGAGTGTGTGTGTGTGGGGGGGGGGGGGGGTGCGTCTCTGTTGTGCGTGGTGTGTGCGTGTGGCACGACCTCCTCCTTCTTGCGCGGCGGCAGGTCGAGGAAGGCCTCGATCAGGTCGCCATCGATGAAGCCGTGCGCGTCGGCGGTCTTCCGGTCGTTGACGAAGGAGCGCCACGACGCGTGAGAGAGCCCACCCACCCCCTTGACGACGCGGGAGAGCGCCGTCTGCACCTGCGCGGACGTGTCGCGGACGTGTCGCGGACGTGTCGCGGGCGAGTCGCGGACGCGCTGGGGAGAGGCGAGTCGCCGGGGAGGGGCGGGTCGCGCGCCTTTGCGAGCCGCACGTACAGCTCCTGCGGAAGTGAGGCGACCACGCCGACCACGCCGTTGACGGAGCCGTACAGCATCGTCGGCAGCGGCTCCGCGCCCGCCTCGCGCATCTGCATGGTGAGGGAGCCGCGGCGGAAGCGGTTGACGAACTCGCCCAGGTGGAACTCGCACACCACCTCCAGCCTGCCCCGCTCCTCCTCGGTGGGCGCGTCGGCCCGCTTGCGAGCCGCGAAGAGGTTGAGCGCGTTCTCCGCGCCGAGGAAGGTGTCGTCGTCGAGGAAGGCGACCTAGGGTTAGGGTTAGGGTTAGGGTTCGGGTTAGGGTTAGGGTCAGGGTCAGTCGTCGTCGAGGCGACCGCGGTCATCCAGTTGGCGTTGACGTCGCGCGCCAGCTCGGTGAGCTCGCCCGCGGACCTGTTCACAGCTAGAGGTGTGAAGAGACGCTGTTCACAGCCAGAGGGCACCAGCTCGCCCCGCGGACCACTGCAGCAGCGTGATCGACTTCATCAGGTCGCCCACCAAGATGAAGTCGGCGCGCGCTTGCACGTACAACACCAGGATGTGGCCGCAGTGCTCCGCCCGCAGCGCCAGCCGCGGCGCACCCGCCTCCCACTCGAAGAGCTGCAGCTTGTTGTTCACGCCGGCGAGCAGCAGGCCAGACGACAGCTCGGCGAGTGAGTAGACGGCACCGCGCACCGCCGCCTCGTGCCGCAGCTCGAGCGAGCCCTCCTGCAGCCGAGGTGCAGCCGAGGTGCAGCCGAGGTGCAGCCGAGGTGCAGCCGAGGTGCAGCCGAGGTGCGGCCTTAGTGCGGCCTTAGTGCGGCCTTAGTGCGGCCTTAGTGCGGCCTTTGTGCGGCCTTAGTGCGGCCTTAGTGCGGCCGAGGTGCGGCCGAGGTGCGGCCGAGGTGCAGCCGAGGTGCGGCCGAGGTGCGGCCGAGGTGCGGCCTTAGTGCGGCCTTAGTGCGGCCGAGGTGCGGCCGAGGTGCGGCCGAGGTGCGGCCGAGGTGCGGCCGAGGTGCGGCCGAGGTTGGTGCAGCTCGAGGCATAACCCTCCTGCAGCTCGAAGACGAGGATGCGGCCAGAGGTTGGCTCCGGCTCGTCGGGCAGGATGTGCGCAGTGCCAACCACGATGTAGCCGCCTCCGCCGCCGCCGCCGAGCCCGCCCACGCTGCTGCCGGCGGCACCCTCGGCCGCCTCCTCCTCGCCGAGCCCCGACACGAGGATGGAGAGGCCCGCCTCGTCCGGAAGCAGGTGCGCCGACGCCAGCTCCGCAAAGGAGGAGTCGTCGAACACGCGCAGCTTGTACCTGGCGGGCGAGGAGCCAGGGGGTGAACCAGGCCGAGCGAGTCGGAGGGGCCGGAGGCGTCGAGCGCGCGCAGCTCGCACCGCTCGGTCTCCTCCCCCCCGGGCACAGCCCGCTCGCCCGCCGACGTGAGCAGCGCCAGCGCGCGCCGCGTTGGCAGAGGGGCGATGCGGCGCGGCTGCTCGCCGAGCCGGTAGGTGGACACCTGCGGCGAGAGACAGCCGAGGCCACAGCCGAGATACAGACGAGATACAGCCGAGATACAGCAGGGGTCACAGCCGAGATACAGACGAGATACAGCCGAGCCGGTAGCCTCAGATACTGCCGTCGGCTGTCTCTCGGCCGTCTCTCGGCCGTCTCTCGGCCGCCTCTCGGCTGCCTCTCGGCTGTCTCTCGGCTGCACCTCTGTATCTCGGCTGCATCTCATCTGCATCTCGGCTCCACTCTCCTGCGGCCGGCCGTACGAGCCGCCTCCCGAGATACTCGGGTGATCTCGGGTGATCTCGGGTGATCTCGGGTAAGCTCCTGCGGCCGGCGGTAAGAGCCGCCTCCCGAGCGCCGCGCGGGCGACAGCACGTTGCCAAGCAGCAGCGACTCCTGATGAATCAAATCCCCATGAGCAGCGACGGCAGGAGTGACTAACACTGCCGAGCAGCCGCGGCTCCTCGTCGGCGGCGGCGAGGCAGCCCGGGAGGGCGTCACACGAGAAGGGCGCGAGGGCGTGAGCTGCGGGCAAGTTGACCTGTTGTCAACGGCACCCTCTTCTCTTCTCTTCTGCTCGACGTGAGCTGTGGGTTGGCCTGCTATCAACGGCACCCTCTTCTCTTCTCTTCTGCTCGACGTGAGCTGTGGGTTGGCCTGCTATCAACGGCACCCTCTTCTCTTCTCTTCTGCTCGACGTGAGCTGTGGGTTGGCCTGCTATCAACGGCACCCTCTTCTCTTCTCTTCTGCTCGACGTGAGCTGTGGGTTGGCCTGCTATCAACGGCACCCTCTTCTCTTCTCTTCTGCTCGACGTGAGCTGTGGGTTGGCGTGGCTATCAACGGCACCCTCTTCTCTTCTCTTCTGCTCGACGTGAGCTGTGGGTTGGCCTGCTATCAACTGCACCCTCTTCTCTTCTCTTCTGCTCGACGTGAGCTGTGGGTTGGCCTGCTATCAACGGCACCCTCTTCTCTTCTCTTCTGCTCGACGTGAGCTGTGGGTTGGCCTGCTATCAACGGCACCCTCTTCTCTTCTCTTCTGCTCGGCGTGAGCTGTGGGTTGGCCTGCTATCAACGGCACCCTCTTCTCTTCTCTTCTGCTCGACGTGAGCTGTGGGTTGGCCTGCTATCAACTGCACCCTCTTCTCTTCTCTTCTGCTCGACGTGAGCTGTGGGTTGGCCTGCTATCAACGGCACCCTCTTCTCTTCTCTTCTGCTCGACGTGAGCTGTGGGTTGGCCTGCTATCAACGGCACCCTCTTCTCTTCTCTTCTGCTCGACGTGAGCTGTGGGTTGGCCTGCTATCAACGGCACCCTCTTCTCTTCTCTTCTGCTCGACGTGAGCTGTGGGTTGGCCTGCTATCAACGGCACCCTCTTCTCTTCTCTTCTGCTCGACGTGAGCTGTGGGTTGGCGTGCTATCAACGGCACCCTCTTCTCTTCTCTTCTGCTCGACGTGAGCTGTGGGTTGGCCTGCTATCAACGGCACCCTCTTCTCTTCTCTTCTGCTCGACGTGAGCTGTGGGTTGGCCTGCTATCAACGGCACCCTCTTCTCTTCTCTTCTGCTCGACGTGAGCTGTGGGTTGGCCTGCTATCAACGGCACCCTCTTCTCTTCTCTTCTGCTCGACGTGAGCTGTGGGTTGGCCTGCTATCAACGGCACCCTCATCTCTTCTCTTCTGCTCGGCGTGAGCTGTGGGTTGGCCTGCTATCAACGGCACCCTCTTCTCTTCTCTTCTGCTCGACGTGAGCTGTGGGTTGGCCTGCTATCAACGGCACCCTCTTCTCTTCTCTTCTGCTCGACGTGAGCTGTGGGTTGGCCTGCTATCAACTGCACCCTCTTCTCTTCTCTTCTGCTCGACGTGAGCTGTGGGTTGGCCTGCTATCAACTGCACCCTCTTCTCTTCTCTTCTGCTCGACGTGAGCTGTGGGTTGGCCTGCTATCAACGGCACCCTCTTCTCTTCTCTTCTGCTCGACGTGAGCTGTGGGTTGGCCTGCTATCAACGGCACCCTCTTCTCTTCTCTTCTGCTCGACGTGAGCTGTGGGTTGGCCTGCTATCAACGGCACCCTCTTCTCTTCTCTTCTGCTCGACGTGAGCTGTGGGTTGGCCTGCTATCAACGGCACCCTCTTCTCTTCTCTTCTGCTCGACGTGAGCTGTGGGTTGGCCTGCTATCAACTGCACCCTCTTCTCTTCTCTTCTGCTCGACGTGAGCTGTGGGTTGGCCTGCTATCAACGGCACCCTCTTCTCTTCTCTTCTGCTCGACGTGAGCTGTGGGTTGGCGTGGCTATCAACGGCACCCTCTTCTCTTCTCTTCTGCTCGACGTGAGCTGTGGGTTGGCCTGCTATCAACGGCACCCTCTTCTCTTCTCTTCTGCTCGACGTGAGCTGTGGGTTGGCGTGGCTATCAACGGCACCCTCTTCTCTTCTCTTCTGCTCGACGTGAGCTGTGGGTTGGCCTGCTATCAACGGCACCCTCTTCTCTTCTCTTCTGCTCGACGTGAGCTGTGGGTTGGCCTGCTAACAACGGCACCCTCTTCTCTTCTCTTCTGCTCGACGTGAGCTGTGGGTTGGCCTGCTAACAACTGCACCCTCTTCTCTTCTGCTCGCGAGGAGTCAGGGCAGGCTCGCACCGACGAGAAGAGCAGCTGGCCTGCGGAGGCGTGCACCAGCGCTGGCCGCTCGGAGCAGCAAAACACGAGCGGCTCACCTATCGGGAGCCTCTCTCATGGGAAGAGGTGCTCCGCGCGTTCTCGAGTCTCCATGCGGAGCAGCAGAGCACGAGCGGCGCGCCGTCGTCGGCGGTGTACGCCACGAGCGAGAGCGGCTGTGTCGCTAGTGGAACAGCCTAACTCAGAGAGAGCTCTCGCGGTGGACGTCGCACACCAACGAACGAGCGGCTCTGTCGGCGGCGTGGCGACGCGGGGGCCGCCTTTGGCGCGCCGAGCACCGGCGCGGCGTCCTCCGCGGTCGGCAGCGGGAAGTAGAGCAGCTTGCCGTCGCCGAGTCCGCAGAGCAGGTACTCGTGCGGCGCCTAGTCTCGGCTAGGAAGTGTCTAGGAAGTGTCTAGCAAGTGGCTAGCAGGTACTCGTGCGGCGCCTAGTCTCGGCTAGCAAGTGTCTAGCAAGTGTCTAGCAAGTGGCTAGCAGGTACTCGTGCGGCGCCTAGTCTCGGCTAGGAAGTGTCTAGCAAGTGGCTAGCAGGTACTCGTGCGGCGCCTAGTCTCGGCTAGGAAGTGTCTAGGAAGTGTCTAGCAAGTGTCTAGCAGGTACTCGTGCGGCGCCTAGTCTCGGCTAGGAAGTGTCTAGCAAGTGTCTAGCAAGTGTCTAGCAGGTACTCGTGCGGCGCCTAGTCTCGGCTAGGAAGTGTCTAGCAAGTGTCTAGCAAGTGTCTAGCAAGTGTCTAGCAAGTGGCTAGCAGGTACTCGTGCGGCGCCTAGTCTCGGCTAGCAAGTGGCTAGCAAGTGTCTAGCAAGTGGCTAGCAGGTACTCGTGCGGCGCCTAGTCTCGGCTAGGAAGTGTCTAGGAAGTGTCTAGCAAGTGGCTAGCAGGTACTCGTGCGGCGCCTAGTCTCGGCTAGCAAGTGTCTAGCAAGTGTCTAGGAAGTGTCTAGCAGGTACTCGTGCGGCGCCTAGTCTCGGCTAGCAAGTGTCTAGCAAGTGTCTAGCAAGTGGCTCGTGCGGCGCCTAGTCTCGGCTAGGAAGTGTCTAGGAAGTGTCTAGCAAGTGGCTAGCAGGTACTCGTGCGGCGCCTAGTCTCGGCTAGGAAGTGTCTAGGAAGTGTCTAGCAAGTGTCTAGCAGGTACTCGTGAAGCGCCTAGTCTCGGCTAGGAAGTGTCTAGGAAGTGTCTAGCAAGTGGCTAGCAGGTACTCGTGCGGCGCCTAGTCTCGGCTAGGAAGTGTCTAGGAAGTGTCTAGGAAGTGTCTAGCAAGTGGCTAGCAGGTACTCGTGCGGCGCCTAGTCTCGGCTAGGAAGTGTCTAGGAAGTGTCTAGGAAGTGTCTAGCAAGTGGCTAGCAGGTACTCGTGCGGCGCCTAGTCTCGGCTAGGAAGTGTCTAGGAAGTGTCTAGGAAGTGTCTAGCAAGTGGCTAGCAGGTACTCGTGCGGCGCCTAGTCTCGGCTAGGAAGTGTCTAGGAAGTGTCTAGCAAGTGTCTAGGAAGTGTCTAGCAAGTGGCTAGCAGGTACTCGTGCGGCGCCTAGTCTCGGGGCGGCTCCTCTCGGCTCCTCTCGGCGCAAGCTGTCTTGCGGAGAGGGAGGGAGCGGAGTGCAGCGCCGCGGCGGGCGCGTAGAAGGCGAGAGAGCGCGGGACGACGCCCTTGTCTCCGAGCGGGGTGGTGCCGCAAGGCGCGAGCGAGGGGAGCGAGAGGAGAGACAGGGAAAACGACGTCCACGAACCGACCGCCGCCAGGAGGGGCTCGCCGCCGCACGCGCCTGCTGACAAACGGACGCGGTCATTCACACTTGCTCCTCGGCAAGACAGGCCGCAAGGGCCTTCGCCGCTGCGGGCCGCGCCTCCCGAGTCCGTCTCCATCGGCACGTCCGCGTCGGACGCGTCCAAGGACGCGTCTGGCGGGGAGGGGGCGGCGGCGGGCGGGCGCAGAGCGAGGCACGCGACCTGTGAACAATCAGGTGTGAACAATGAGGAGTCACGAGCCTGCTGACGGGCGGGGAGGGGCAGGGCGGGGCGAGGAGACCTCATGCTCGAACGCGCGTGTCGCGAGCAGCGCGATCGGCTCGCCGGCCGCCGGGTCGCACCGGAGCAGCGCGACGGTGCGGCCTATGCCTCAGCCGTAGCAACGATGCCTGCGAGTGCTCTATGCAAGACCCGGAGCAGCGCGGCGGTGCGGCCGGCGGTGGCGAGGAGGAGGGTGGTGCCGTGCGCGGCAGCGAGGGTGATGGCGGCTCCGTCAGGCGGCGACCAGACCCCGAGCTGAGCGAGGGAGGCGGCATCGAGCAGCAGCAGGCAGCGCGACGTCGCCTGCACAATGGCGGCGCCGCCGGCGAGCGAGGCTGCAAACACAGTCGCGCTCTCCGTGTCGAAGCCGCCCCCCTCCTCCACCTCGGCCAAATGGTCGCCCTCCTCCTCGTCGCGCGCCATCGCGAGCAGCCTGTTCACAGGAGGAGTGGCTAGGAAGCGGCCAGGAAGTGTCCAGGAACTGTCCCCCTCGCGAGCAGCCTTGTCTCCGACACAAACGACAGCACCAGCCGTGCCGGGGCGACGCCGCCGCCGCTGCCACCGCCGCCGCCGCCACAGCCGGAGGCGTGCAGCGACCACATCGCCTTGACGCCGGGCAGGGGGAGCGACGCCCGCTCGTCGAAGGCGACGCCCGAACGGACGACGCGGATCGAGCCTATGCTTGCTTCCCTTAAGGCCTTCCCACTTGCGGGCTAGTGCAGCCGAAGGGAGGGCCCGCACGGTGCCGTCCCGGCGCGTGCCCGAGCAAGTGACGACCTGCCCCTGCCCCTGCCCCTCTGGGTCGAGGACCTAGACACTTCCTAGACACCTCGCAGACGCTTCCTAGGCACTTCCTAGACAGTTCCGGGTCGAGGACCGCGAAGTCGACGATCGGGCCGAGGTTCTCCCACCTCGCCAGCTCGGAGAAGTAGGAGCCGTCCTCGTGCGCCTCTGTAGAGAGAGAGAGCAGCACCTACCCACGGCACGGAAGTGTCCCGGAACTGTCCCGGAGGTGTCCAGGAAGTGTCTAGGAAGTCGAGGGAGAGAGCAGCACCTACCCGGAGCTGTCCCGGAACTGTCTAGGAAGTGTCTAGGAGGTGTCTAGGAAGGAAGTCGAGAGGCTAGAGCAGCACCTACCCACGGCCCTCCGACGGGTGCGCTAGCGGTCCGGGCTCGTCCTCGCCGCTAGAGCGAGAGCGGCCACCGCGTCGGCGCAGCTCGAGCCGAGGTAGACCACGCCGTTGTCGAGGTAGCAGATGGCGGACGCGGCGACGGTCTGGCCGAGCCGCTCGAGCGTGAGCGATGTCACCTCGGCGCGGTCCGTCAAGCCGATGGCGAGGACGTAGAGCGTCCCCGCCTATAGGAGGTGTCTAGGAAGTGTCTCGCAAGTGTCTAGGAAGTGTCTAGGACGTAGAGCGTCCCCGCCGCGTCGGAGAGGAGCCACCGCGTCCCGTCTGGGTCCACGCGGCCGTGGGCTCGGAAGAGAGTCGGCGCACCCGACGCAGAGACCTGTGAAGGTGAAGGATGGGGGGGCGTCCCGTCCCTCCGAGGATTCGCCGGAGGCTCGAGCAGAGCGACGCAGACGCAGACGCAGACGCAGACGCAGACGCAGACGCAGACGCAGACGCAGACGCAGACGCAGACGCACCTGGTGCGCGCGGACGGCGCCGCCCGAGTGGCACGCGACCTGAAGTCACAGCGGCGCGGTGTGAGCGGCCCTCGCGCCCTCGAGGAGGTGTGAGCAGCCCGAGCGGCGAGTTGCACCGAGTGCTCGGAGAGGACGAGCACGCCTGTAGGAAGTGTCTAGGAAGTGTCGAGGAGGTGTCTAGGAAGTGCTCGGAGAGGACGAGCACGCCTGTGAAGTGTCGAGGAAGTGTCGAGGAGGTGTCTAGGCAGTTCGACACAACGGGCTCCTTCCTCACCCGCTCTGTTCGCTCGGTGACGATGGGCACGCCTCCGGCCGAGACTACCCGAGACTACGGCCCGAGACTACGGCCCCAGACTACGGCCCCAGACTACGGCCCCAGACTACGGTTGCCTCCGAAGGGCAGCGCGATGAGCTGCGACGCCGACGCCTCGACGGCAACCTGCGGCCAGACACGTGCGCAGGTCTTCCGAGCGCGGTGCTGGCCTCTGACGAGGAGGACGGGGTGGGGCGATATACGTATAAATACTGCAGTCGACCTGCGGCCAGGGGCCGTCGGAGAGCGCCTTGTCCCGCACGGAAACCTCGTGCGTCTTGAGGTATCGCTGGTGCTTCGAGTCCTCGTGCAGGGTGGCGAGCGTCGGGCGCGGCGTGCCGGCGAGGAAGCAGAGGTCGAGCAGGTACAGCTCCTGCGCGGAAGGGAGTTGCACGCGACAGGGACGACGGTCAGGCCGGGCTGGCATCGGAGGGAGCGAGAGGGCGAGCAGGCGCCGCTCCTCCATGCGCACGTTGAAGGCCTCCGAACGAAGCGTGCCTACGGCCGAGCGTCCGAGCCGGGTCCGAGCCGGGTCCGAGCCGGGTCCGAGCCGGGTCCGAGAAGGCGGCCGCGAGCCTACGGCCCGAGGGGTCCGAGAAGGCTGCTGCAGGGCTCCGGCGGCGGCGAAGGCGTCCGGACGTGGCGCGCCTCCCGCGAGCGCGGGGATGATCTTGAAGAGGCCGTCGTACATGTGAAGCCCGAGCAGCCGGTGCTGCGGGTCGAGGGCCGCGATCTGGCCGCAGTCGCAGGGGCGGCCTGTCTTGTCGGAGACGTCCCCCGCCGCCTTGGTGACGATCTACGGCGGGGCGGAGGGGGGGGCGGGGCGGCGTGGTCATGCCCACACGGCGGCTGTGGCTGTGCGTCCGGACAGAGCCTCCGCGTGTGCTGGCGCGACGGCCGCGGCGGCGCTAGAGGCGCCAGCACTAGGAGGCGCAGCGCTCGCCTCTCCGCTCTCGGCGTCGTAGGCGAGAAGCGCAAAGCGGTAGCGCTCGGTGGAGAGGAAGATGAGGTCGGGGTGGCCGGCGCCGTGCGGGCGCCACACCTCCAGCGTCGCGACCCGCCCGTACAGCGGCACGTCGAGCAGCGGCCGCAGCCCCTCGCCCGAGCCGTCGACTGCGTGGACCTCGAGCCGCGTCGACTTTGCGACAATGAGGTTGAGGTCGTCCGGGCCGGTGAAGGCGGCCGTGACGGCGTGCGATACGGCCGACGGACGGTGCGCCGTCACCGTGTAGTTCCACGACATTGGAGGGGAACTTAGCGGAACGGTGGAGGATCTGAGGCTGGCGCGAACTGGCGAAAACGAACTGGCCCGCGCGCTCTTTCGCTAAAAAAACGCTGGCCTGGATGTGAGGCTGATGACTGCACTCCAAGTGCTCCAAGTGCGGATGAGCAGGACGACGCGGAGGGTGGGCGCCGGGGGATTGGGAGGAGGACCCGCTCGGGTTCGACACCAACCCGATGCTGCTCCGCGCCATGACCCATGTGCATGGCGTTCGAGTGAATGAACGCCGTGCAGGCAGCCCGTCCGTGCCTTTTGGTGTACCCCGTCTGTACCGCGTCCTGAGAGAGAGATGCCCCCGAGTTCATTGTAGTAAAAAACCGATTCTCGGCATATAGCCGAAAAGCTCGCGCGCGCGCTGGGGATTTGTTACAAGGACCGGCTCTCTTCAAGCTGCACTTTCAGCTCAAAATAAACGGAGCAAAAGCCGCAGGAGGTCGCGCGCGCGCGCGGAGGCTGCGAACCGCATAGGTCTATGCACATTCGAGACCCCATATGCGACAGCTCGAATCCCCTCTGCTCGATTTCGTCGTGCGGCCGTCCTGTTTCGGACTCGGCGAGGTGTGGATGGGTTGGGACAGTCCTTTTTCTCCCGGCCGGGGTGGGGCGCGCGCGGGGGCGGCGGGTGTGCGGGATGTCTGTGGGCCCGAGCGATGTATATCGAGAAAAGAAAAGCGAAAAATAAATAAAAGAGAAATCAAAACCTCACACGCCGCTTTTCCTCCCCTCTCGCCACCGTCGCCGGAGCGGGTGATGGTCATTTGGCGCTGGCTTGATGCGCTCGTTTGTGTGACATCCTTCTGCGCCTTCCATTGGACCGGGGACTGGTTTTTGGGGCTTGCACCCCCCCTTCTTCTCATCGTTTTCGCCAACTGGCAGGGCGGCGCGCGGCAATTTACGACATGGTTCGAGAGCGCAGCATTCACCGTGTTGGACGTGGTCATCTGGACGGTTGAGCACGTGCTGTCTCCGTTTCAAGAGCCACCGATCGTCGTCCAGAGGGCACGCTACGAGCAGCAGCGGGAGCGTGAGCAGCAGCGGCGGCGGGAGAAGGCGGCGGCAGAGGCGGCAGAGCGCGATCGTCAGAGACGTGAGCGGCGGGAGAAGGCGGCGGCAGAGGCGGCAGAGCGCGAGCGTCAGAAACGCGAGCGGCGGCGGCGGAGGAAGGCGGCGGAGCCGCCGAGGCGGCCGACCGGAGGAGGTGAGATGGCGGCGGTGGCAGAGGAGGAGCTGTTGAGTGAGGCGGCGAGGGCAGCTGCAGGTGGGGCTGTGGCGAGGGCGGCGGAGGAGGCGGAGGCACGTGCGGCGGAAGAGAGAGAGGTGGTAGCGGCACGGGAGTCGGCAGCGCGAGCGGCGGCGGCGGCGGAGGCGGAGCGGGCGGCGGAGGCCGCGGCCGCCGCCACTGCCGCGGCGGCCGAGATGCGAAAGCATGGCTCGGCGGTTGCGGAGGCGAGCGCGCTGCGCGCGCTGCAGGCGCTCACGAGCAGCACCTCGCTCGAGGAGCGGCGCGCGGCGGCGGCGGCGGCGGCGTCGCACGCGGCGGCCCTGCCTGCCCTCGTGGGGGAGATTGAAAAGGCGGAGCGAGCCGCGGCCGAGGCGACCGACCGGTTCGTCTCGACCGAGGAGCCGGTCATGAATACTCCGACCGATGGCGCAGATGAGCAGGCGGAGGCGGCGGCGGTTGCGGCAGAGGCCCCTCCCTCTTCTCGCCCGGCAAGGTCCGCCACGGCGGCCGCGGCGGCCGACGCGGGAGCACCGGCCCCCACGCACGGCGCGCCCCCGCCGCCCCACGCCCTCGTCTCGCTCGCAGACGCTAGCTTCGACACGGGCCGGCCGCCGGAGTCCACGATGGGCGGCGAGACGACGTGCATAATTTGCTTCACCGACCCGAAGTCTCACATAGCGACGCCGTGTGGCCATGTGTGCGCTTGCGGGCGGTGTTCCGCAAAGATGGAGCGGTGTCCTGTCTGTCGCGCGCCAGTGGAGAGGTGGTTCCAGGTGCATGTCGCGTAAGAGGGTGTACGTATTTCGATGCGGTGGAGTATAAAAACAAGTGGCAAGTGCGAGGGGAACACGAGAAGACGAGATCACGTGGCCTCAGCGCTGGCAGGAGCGAGGAGGCAGAGGCTGCGCCAACGCCACTGGCAGCGCTGCCGTCCGCTCGACTGCCGTCGCGTCAGCCTCCGCCAGAGTCCCAGCCGAGGCAAGGTCTCGCAGATACGCCGACATCTCTGCGGCGCGAACCATGCAGCAGTACACGCCGAGAACGCGCAGCGCCGCCGGCCCGGCGTCCGCGCACGTGAAGACGGCGTCGGACGCCACCGCCACGTTGAGGTCCTCTGCCACCGCCCGGATCGCGGTGGAGAGGACGCACGACTCTGTCCAGCAGCCCGCCAGCAGGAGCGTGTCGACGCCGTGCGCGTCGAGCTCTGCACGCAGCACGGAGCGCCTGCGGGACACGTCCGGGCACGCGTCGCGGACACGCCCACAGGACAGGACACCCGCCCGCGGCTCGGAAGTGCCCGTCTCGCCGCCTCGCCGCGAAGGCGTCGAAGGCGTGCGAGTCGATGACGCGCGACCTCTCGGCGGCGGTCCGAGGAGCAAGCTGCGGCCAGGGCGGCGGTGGAAGCTGAGGTGAGGGCGAGGCGGCGGAGGCAAAAGCGAGGAGAGGCCAGGTCGAGGGATTGTCCCCATGCAAACAGCGGGGCTGGGAGGGCTACCCGTTCGCATCTCCACATCCCGTGAGTGCCGGCAGGAGCTGGCGCGGCGCTCAAAGGCGCTCAATGGCGAGAGTGGCGCCCAAAGGCCGCGCGCTGCGGCGTGTGGCGTGGCGGTGAGCAGCGGGGCGAGCAAGCCTCGTGCATGATGGCGCGTCCCTTGTCCGATGCGAGGTAGAGCGGGTTGTCGTGCGACGCGACGCCCCATGGGCCAAAGTACTCGTCGAGGGCGCCGTAGTGCGCGTCGGTGGGCGAGGTGCGGCACCAGCGGGACCAGAGGACGACGACGCCTGCAGGCGGGCTTCAGACGGGGTCCAGACAAGGCTCCCAGTCATCGCCGGTGCGACCAGAGAGAAACGGCGCCGGCGGCTCGCGCCGCAGCGACGAGATCGCAGAGGCGAGAGAGGACGCGTGGCGGCATGAGCGAGCGGTACTCCTCCTGCGCGTCGTCGATCAGCAGCGCCACGCGCCTCGGCCTGTCGCCGAGACGCCAAGAGCACGAGAAGTGGAGCCGTCTCTCTCGGCAGCCAGCGCGGCTGATCCGAAGATTCTCCATGCGGTCGAGCGAGTCCCGCCGGCACGCTGGCGACGCGAATGGCCGGCTGTAGATCACCATTGGCCGAGGATAGAGAGCGCCGCCCTCGCCGAGACAAGGCTCGGCGACGAGGCGCTCCTGCTCGCTCCCGGGAAGGAGCGCACCGAGGCAGCACTCGTCCAAAAAGTCCAGGAGGTCGTGCTTGGCGAGGCGCAGCGACGCGGCGAGATGCATGACGTCGGCGAGCCACGCCGTGAAGGCGACGGGTTCTCCTCAACCGTCTGTGCTTGTGCGAATGGGCCGTACGCGAATGGGTGGCGCCGGTACGCGCTGCACTGAGTGCGCCGACGCGGACGCGTTCCAGCGCATGCCGGTGAAAGTTGCCTGGCGGGCGGGGGCGAAGGGGAACGCGAAAGTTGGAATAAAGAAATTCATATGCGAAAACTCCCTCGCACAACACTGGGCACGGGACTGGCGCGTTGGAGTAAAGAATATAGTTGGCCGAATAAAAGAATTTTATGTTCTCTTACGTACATTCCCGGAGGAGGACTGCTGACAGGGTTTGCGATGAGGAGCGATTTTAAGGCTGGGTTGTGAGGTTCGATGATTTGTGAGTTTCTGTACATTCCATTTCGGGGAACGAAGGAGGGGAACGAGCGAATGAGTGCATGTCGCGTCTCATTCTCGGCCGAGGCCGAGCACACTCAAAAGCACTGAGGTGCTCCCAGCACGCCAGGCCGCCCCAAGTCCACCAAAAATCGACCTCTCGCCCCTCTTGCGGCAGGCCAAGCGCTGTCCGCGAGCGTGGAGCCGCTGGAGCCACCCGCCACCGAGCGCGGAGAGGAGAGCGCTCTCGATGTTTGGCGCACGCTCTTCAAACACCTATTTGGAGCCGCCGGTGCTCACATTTCTCCAGCATGAGCGCGGTAGCACGTGCATAAATCTCTCGAGCGCGGGGCAGCACCAAAAGTATGCAAAGGCCGTGTCTCAAGCACGCTCGGCCGTCAACGCCCACAGCTCGACTTTCCCTCCGGGCACATTTGCTGAGGTCAACGCCGTGCGCCGCCGCTGCGACGAGATGCTCGTCAGCGTGAAAAACGAGCTCGCCCTCGGCCTCGCCCAGCTCGACGCCTCCGCCTCCGAGGGAGGTCAGCCCACGGAAGCCGCCCTCGCCGCGCTCGAGCGGGCGTCGCGCTCTGCGGCGGAGGCCTTCTACAGGGCCTTCGGCGAGTACAACTCGGTGGTCAAGCAGGCGCTCGAGGAGTGCCACGCCTCCTCGTCGGCCTCGACGAGGCCCGACTGGCAGGCCATGCGCTGCTTCGACCTGCTCAAGAACTGCCTCGGCGAGATGCGGGCCTGGCTGTGCGGCGCCCTCGCACTGCCCAGAGCGGGGCTGGAGGGGCTCCCCGCGCGCGCCACCACCGACCTGCTCTTCAGCTTGCGCGAGCAGCGGGCGCGGACAGAGGAGCTGCGAGCCCTCGCCCCGCCCCGCATGCTCGAGCTCCTCGGCGCCGCCGTCGAGATGGACCCGGAGCTGCGCTCGCTGCTCGCAAAGCTCGAGGAGTCGCTCGACGTGTGCACCGTCCGCAAGGCGGGCCTCATCCCGCCGCGCCTGTGGCGGCTCATCACGTCGCACATCGCAAAGATCGAGCAGCTGCAGGTCATGCTGCACAACTACGCCTCCTCGCCCAGCTCGCCGCGCAGCTCGCCGCCGCACTCCTGGCAGGGCTCGCCGACGCCCCCCCGCCGGGCTCACGCCTCGTCACCGCCAGCTGCCTGCCAGACGACCCCGACCACCCAAGGTGCGGGCGGCACCGCGGCGCTGTCGCAGGAGGATGTCGCGGGCGCTGCCCTGGCCCTCCTCGGGGGCGTGCGTGGAGATGGCTTGCTGCAGGAGGACCTGCACGCGCTCTCGGGCGACCAGATCAAGGAGCTCCTCCTGCTGCGGCTCGGCGACTCGGAGGGTGCGCGGGCGTGCTCGCCCTCGGGGCGCCCCCAGGCTCCCGAGCTCGCGAAGCGCGGGCGCGCGCCCGCGCTGGTGGCGGCGGGCGACGCCACGGGCGCGTGCGGAGGCTCCCTGTCGAGCTCCGAGCCGCAGGTGACTCGCGCCGCCCTCGACGACCTCGTCTTCCGCGGCCGGCTGGGGAGCGGCTTGGGCGGCTCCACCTACCTCGCCGAGTGGCGGGGGGAGGTGGTGGCGGCCAAGGTTGCCAGCGGGCGAGAGGACGCCTGCGCGAGCTGGAACGTCGAGGTCGGCATGCTGGCGGGGCTTTCGCAGCCAGGCCACCCCAACGTGGTCCGGCTCCTCGGCGCGGTGGAGGAGCGGCTCACGCGCTGCGTCATCCTCGAGTACTGCGACGGCGGCGACCTGCAGCAGGCGCTGCAGCGGCCGACGCCGCGCCGCTTCTTCTTCCGCGTCGCCTCGGGCGTCGCCACCGGCCTCACCTTCCTGCACGCCAACGGAGTGATGCACCGCGACCTCAAGTCGCCAAACGTGCTGCTGCACGGCGAGCACGGCGTCAAGATCGCCGACTTCGGCCTCGCCGCCGACGTGCAGCCGACAGGCTTGACCCGCACTCACTGCTTGGGGCGCGAGGTGCTCACGCCAGAGACAGGCGCGCGCGGTGGACGGCGAGAGGGCGCTTCCCGCAACGGTACGCACATCCACCCCCCTCGTCCCCGATCCTGCACCTGCAGGCAGCTACCGCTGGATGGCGCCCGAGATCGTGATGCACGAGGCCTACTCCAAGAGCGCGGACGTCTTTTCGTACGCCATGATCCTCTTCGAGCTCATCACACACACCATCCCCTTCTCCGACCGCTCGGCGCTGCAGGCCGCCGTCTCTATCGGCCTGCAGGGAAAGCGGCCCCGCCTCCCCGCTGGCACGCCCACGCTGCTGCGCGACCTCGTCGAGAGCTGCTGGGCCGAGGACATCGCCAGCCGCCCGCGTGCGCTGCACCTCGAGTCGCAGGTGGCTTTGCTCGAGTCGACCCTCTCCCCCTCCGACCGCGAGTGGCTCGAGTGCCCGCTCGGCAATCCGGTCCTCAAGGAGGAGCCGCCGCCGCCCAACGACAACAGCGGAGCGCCGCTCGCCGTGGCGGAGCGGCGCCGGCGGCGCTCGCACCAGCTCGGAGTGTGCTCGGGCGGCATCATGGCCAGCAACCAGGGCAGTGAAGCGCCTCCGCCGCCGCTGTCGCCTAGGCGCCACCGGCTTCCCGCACTGCCGTGTGTAGTAGCTTCGCCCCCCTCGTCGATCGATACGATCCCGTCTTCGCTGTCGAGCCAGGAGGAGATGGTTACGCTCACGGCGGAGCTGGGGGCTCTCCGGGAGGTTGCCCTGGCCAGCAGCAGCACGTAGGAGCGAGGCGTCAGGCGAGCGCGCTGGAGCTCCGGCTCTGGATTCCTTGGAGGCGGCGCTGGCTCCTCCCCCCGCCCCCCCTCCCCTCGAGCGCCGCGGCGATTGCACTCTGTTGCCACACAAATCTGCGGGCAGCTCTAGGCCCCGGTTGATTCTCTCCCTTGCCCGGCCCGGGTCTCGGGTCGGTCGGTTGAACCGAGCACTCTCGATGCCCACTGTACACTTTGTTCGGCTTCGGCGCTGTCCTCTCTCCGGAGAGAAGCAGTCAATTTAGCAGAGAGGCTAGGTGTGTATGAGTAGAGTGCAGGCCAGTCAACCCTTTTCCTGGCTCACAAGCTAAAGATGTTCACGGGCCCCCACTCTCCCACATGCGGCATGGAGAGCCCCGGTTACTCTTTAGCTGTACTCGTCTCTAGGCAGGGGTTGGATATTATATATTAATTAAATATCTTGCCAATGTTGTGACAGCGATAAATTGCACAAACTCCGAGGAAAGGCCCCTCGAACGCGCGAAAGCGCCGGCTTTCGAAACCCGGCGCCCGCCCTCTTTCTGGCCGCGTCCCTCCCCTGTCCTCTCGACTGGTTCCCTCTTTTACAGACATAACATAGAATTTAAACAAAACAACTCTCTCTCACAGCACACAGGCTCGACACAGGTGCATAAAATAGAAGAACCCTCGCTTCAGGTCCGACACAGGTACCAAAAGTAATAGAACTCCCCCCCACCCACCCACCCACCCACCCACTCACCCACGACGTAAATCGGCGGGGCGGGCGCTTCTACTACTTATCGCGGCCATTCTGCCGCACTGCCTGGGCTTCTCGCCCGCCTCGAGGCTTCGCCCCCACCTCGACGTGCGTTGACGACGACGCTGTGGTGCCCGCGTTTGCCACCGCCCTCGGTGGCTTGGTCACTAGAATCGGAGCCGCGCGCGAGCCCGTGCGGGCGGAGGAGGAGGATCCGGCTCGGCGGGCGGGCGCGGGCGTGGACGCATTCTTGGCGGCGCTTCTGCGGCGCTACGCTGACGCCGAAAGAATGCGATATTTGGAGGTCGGCACTCCGTCGAGGCAAACGCGAACAACACATGCACTACGCCAGCGCCTTGCGCGCCCCAGAAGACAAATCACTGCCGCCGCCGCCGTCGGCGTGGCTCGACACGCGTCCAGCAGCCAGAGTGGCTCCGGCTCTGCTGAATAGAGCGTTGCGCCCAAGCGCCGACACGGACAGTCGATCCCTGCGCCTTGAGGTTCGTTCGTTCTTCTCGCAGCACTGCTCCAAGGGCTTTGGCGAATGCCCACACACCGCACGCGCTAAACAAGGCCTCTCGAAAGACTTCGAGCTGGCTGGAGCAGTGGCGCTGCTGCACGCGCGGCGCGGCTTCGCAACGTGCTTGCAGGGCACGAGGCCTTTCCACGTTGAGCGCTTCCCGGACGGGTCGTGGATCATCGGCACGGCAGCAGAAGCGCCGCGGCAGGAGGAAGAGCCTGCGGCACTGCCGCGATCGGACGAAGAGGCTGCCACGGCAGGGGCGCTCTCGCCGGAGAGTGAAGCAGAGCGGAAGGAGCAACGCAAGGCGAGGCGCGCCGCAGCTCGCCAGAAGCGAGACCAGAGGATGATCTTCAATCAGCAGGGCGTGGCCGTTGTGCTCAGCCCCTCGGCGCACGAGGCGTGGCTCACCGCCGGCGAAGAACGGCATCACGACCTTGGCGCGAGAGTGCTGGCTCTGCGGCTCGCCGTGGTGGACTCCTTGACCGGCTCGCGTCTCGGTGTCTTCCTCGTCTCGGCGCAAGCGCCCTCCTCCAAGGACCCCCACACCGAGGAGTGGGACGCGTTCTACGCCGCGCTCGCCACGGCCATCTCTCGCAAGCAGCCGGGAGATGTGCTGGTGCTCGGCGCCTCGGCGAACGCCGCCGTCGGCACCAGCTCCACGCGGGAGCGGGAAGCGGCCGCGCGAGAGGCGAAATGCAGCCGAGATATGGCCGAGATGTGGCCGAGAGGCGCCGGGGAGAAGATGCTCTTGAAGGCTGTGTAGCGTAGCGTAGGTCACTCCTCTGACAGCGCGCGCTCGCAGCCCTTGCCCGCAACCACCCCCGTGACGGCAGCCCCATGCCCGCAACCACCCCTGTGACGGCAGCCCCATGTGCACAGGCACGGCGAGGGGCGGCCGTGGCAAGACTCGTCGCGAAATACGGCGACGACGCGCGCGTTGAGCTCGAGCCGCCCGAACCGTCCGGACCGTCCCTAGATCTCGCGGCAACTCTCGACTCGCAGCCCACCAACTTCCCGCCTCTGCCCTCTGCGCCGACGAGATGCGTCGGCCCGTTTGGCATCGACTACATTAGCCCTTCTGGCCGTCGTCTGCTGGGCTTCATGGACACCCACGAGGTCCGGCCGCGCGTTGCGTGCCTCAGCGCCCCAGTCTGGCCCCTCGCCTCACGCGCCTGCTATCTCCGTCACTCGTACGATTGTCGTTCCCCTGCAGCTGGCGTCGCTCGCCACTGTCTACCCCAAGAAGCACTACGCCACCTGGATCGACCCACGTTCGTCCAACGGGCACATGAACGACCACATCCTGATCTCGCGTGTGGATCTGGCGCGGTTCTCCGATTGCGGCTCCCGTCCCTGCATGCTGTTCGAAAGCGACCACCATTTGGTCGGTTGCAAGTTGCGCGTCACGGAACTCGGCGCGGGTGAGGCAGCCGAAGTATAGGTGTATAGCCGATGCATTTTTCGCTGCTTTTTTACCAGGGGCCGGCGTCCATGTGTAATCCGTAATCCGCTAAACGGCGCTAAAGGAAATCTGTCAGTGGCTGCACTAGACGCCCCCATAGTGCACTGAGGCGCGCGGCGCGGGCGGATGACTACAGACTAGGGGAGAAAAAGCGGAGATCCTAGCTCGCTGGGAGACGTGCGCAACCTAAAGTTGGGAATAGGGGAGAAGTGTCAGTGTGAGGGGAGGGCGTACGCCGGCGTTTTTGCCTTTGAAAACTCAACCGTTTTTTTTGGGCACGGGGCTGGCGCGGCGGACCGGTTCCTGGGCGACTTTGCGATTCTGAGGTCTTTCGCGCCTACCGTATTTATTCTTCACACCACTTCCAGGTAGAGGTACCAGGGCTAGCGTTGAAGCACTTCGTACTGGACGTCGAGACGTTGCGCTCGGCCTGACGCGACCGAAGCCTGCATCCGCTCCCACGACTGCTCTAACGTCTCTGTGTCCGCGCCACCTCCCGCCCCCACCCTCCGGATTGGGACGTCCACCTCGTCGTCCTCGCCACCGTCGTCCTCGCTCTCCTGCGTGTCGGCCACCCGCCGGATGGGCACCTCCTCCTCGTCCTCGTCCTCGTCGTCGTCGTCGCCGCCGTCGCCGCCGCCGCCGCTCGCAGCGGCCAGCTCCGCACGCCGCCCGCCCCCACCGGCGACTGACAAGCGGCTGATGCCGGCGGCGGCAGCGTCGCTGCCAGAAACCGCGGCGACCGGCGTGCAATGGTTGCGGTGCGACGGCCAGTCCGCCCGCTGGCACACAGCGCTGCAGTAGAGCACGCCCTTGCACCGGGAGCAGCGGAGGCAAGCTGGAGGCGCCGCGTCGCGCCCGCCGCCCAAGCGCAAGGCTCGCGCAGCAGCCCGAGGGCGGCGATCCGAGGGCGGCGGAGCAGCTCCGACGAACGCAACGGACCGCCCGCCTCCGCCGCCGCCTCGGCCGCCTCGGTGGCGACCGCCTCTGCCGCCGCGCACAGCGCGCGCGCCGCATCGCCGCCACCGAGGAAGGCCGTGTCGTCCCTCAGCCACGCGCCGAGCGGCAGCGCCGAGACAGAGGCGAGCGAGGCGAGGCTGTCGAGCAGCGCAGGCACCTAGCGAGGATTGTCCATCCCAAATGACGCGCAACGGCACGCGGCGGAACCACTCTGTCGCGCAGCGCGGGCGCCGTCTCTCGCCGCGGCCGCTGCGACAGGAGGAAGCGGCCGATGGCGGCGTTGGAGCGGAGAAGTGCGAGCGGTGCGGCGGGCGTGGCGGCGGCGGCGGCGGCGGCGGCGAGCGCTTCGACTGCGGCAGCGGCGAGGTCGGAGGCGAGAGAGACGCACCAGCCTCCCTCGTCGTCGGCGGCGGCGTCGGCACCACCCATCGCACGCGCCTGCCAGCTGCTCGCGAGCAGCGGCAAGCAGACCTGCAGCGCCGCCAGCGGCCGCTGCCGCAGCGTGCTCACGAGCGGCGCGTTGGAAAGGAGGCCGGCGCCCGCAGCCACAACCTCCCGCGGCGCACCCCCGGCGCACAGGAGGCTGAACCGGCCGACCAAGTGCCCCTCCGCCGTGGCGGCGTGCGCGGCTGGCCAGCCTAGCTGCGCGAGCGGTGACGGCGGCTCCTCGGGCTCTGCCTCGCAGCGGCTGCAGCGGCACGGAAAGTGGAGGTGGGCCCGGCGAGCGCGCCGCGGCAGGACCAGCAGGCGGGGAGGCAGGTACGAGTGAAAGAGCTCGCTCCCCTCCTCGATGGCGGCAACCGCAAACAGCGCAAAGTTGCCTCCGAGCCGGGTGGACAGGCAGTTTGGGTCGCAGCTGTGGTTGAGCTTCGCCGCCGTCTCGTAGAAGGCCGCGCCGTGCTCGACGCCGAGGAGGGGCGTCTCGAGGCCAAAGGCGTTGTGTCGCACGGCATCGTACACCGCCAGCGCTGCCACCTCGTCGACGCCGCTGGCGCAGAGCCGTCGCAACGCCTCGTCGCTGAGCGGCGGCGCTGCTTCTCCACCGCGCTGCTGCGGCGCTGCTGCGAAGCGCGCTGCCCAGTCTGAGCCGCGGCCGCTCTCCAGCAGCGCTTTAGCCAGGGCGGCCTCGACCGACTCCGACTCGTCATCTCCACACGTCGTGGCGGCTGGCGCCTCGGTCAGCAGCACCGCGCCAGGGGGGATGTGGCAGCTCGCGACGAGATGCGAGCCACGCCAGTCGGGCGAGGTGCGGCACGTGTAGGCCGCACACATGCAGGGGACGGGGCGGGCGCTGGGCGTGGCAAGATGGTCTTTTCTCGCAGCTGCGAGACATGCTTTCTCGGAGCGGGGCATCCAAAACAACAGGGCGGAAGGGAGGGGTGACCATACGCGCAGCGCAGGAGGGGTGCCCCTAAGGGGGCACAAAGGTAGCTCAAAGGGGAGTGAACAAGACGCCGCACAGGCGACGTGCACGCTCGCCGCCTGCGCTCGCCGCGTCGCTCTCTCCCTCCCCTTCTTTGCTTGAACTAGGGAATAAAGAGAGCTTCTGCGAGCCGCGCTCGGCCCCTGTCGGGCGCGATGGCCGCGGCAGTACCGCCGATTGATCTGCACTGCGTTCACGCGGGGCCCGACGCCCCCGTCCAGGGCCCCGCTGCCCACCCGCTGGTGGTGGCTACTGCCGTCCTCCGCTGGGGGCCGGTTGCGGCTGCGCCGAGCGGAGCAGCGCGCGTGCAGCTTGCGCACCACGCGATGCTGCGCGTCTTTGGCCGGCGGCTGCGCCTCGCGGCGCCCCCCGCCGGTACTCCCGCCCCGATGGTCTGCCCGCTGGACCTCGCTCTCACCGGAACCGCGTGGGCTCGCTTCCTGAACGAGCTGCTCACGTGCGGGCTCCTCGACGCGGCCCCCTTCTCCTCTTCGGCTGCACTACAGCTGGCGATCGACCGCCTCGATGTGTCGCCAGCGGCGCTGGAGGTGAAAGAGCCCGATCTCCTCCCGGTGGGGGGCCTCGCCGCCGCGGCCGCGCTGGCGGGGGATGCTGCTCATGCGCAGCGCGGGGCGCCTCGCCGAGCCAGCGCCGCGGCGTCTGCGGCGAGGCCGGCGGCGGCTGCGCGCGCGGCCCTACCTTCTCGCCAGCGGCTGTCTCCGCGTACGGCCTCCCCCCGAGTGCTAACCCGCAACTACTGGCGAGCTATTTTAAGGACTACGTGCTCGCGCTGGAGGGCGCGCTGCCCCCTTCGCTCTGCGCCCCCAACGTTGCGGGGCCGCAGTGGCTGGAGGAGGCGCGCGATGCGGCGACCTACTTGCGCGGCGACGCTGGCCGCCGCAGCGTCGAGGATAAGCGCCTCTACCTGCTCGCCCCCGGCGCCCCGCTACTGTTCTCAGTCCCCGCCTGGGTGAGGCGTTAAATCATCCGTCCCGCCGCGCCATGCACGACACGCCGTTCGAGCTTCCCGGGTCGTCGGCGGTCGTCGGCGCCGCGATGCCACGCGTCGGCGGCGCATTCGACGTCGTCGGCGCGCTGCCCCGCGTTGAGCCCCGCCGCTTGTAGCGACGGCCGCAGGTCGGCCCAGTGCAGCGCGCCCTGGCCGCAGACTGAAGAACGGCCGCGAGGGGTGTGTGATGTGCGGTGCGGGGTGTGAGGGGGCAGCGTCTTTGTGTGCGCACGCGCGCCGCTGCCGCTTGTGATCTGAACTGAAGAGGGGGGGGTCGGCCTTGAGAGCTTACGGGTGGTCTCACCGCGCCAGAGGCTCTGCCTCTCCTCTCGGGGATTGAACTGAGGGATGGGGCGCATCCTCCCTCTTCCCACCGTCGATGCCGGGGTTCAACCAATCCGGCGAGGTCCTTACCATTCCTCCATACATACTACCCGGCTTCATCGGCGGGCGTCTGGGAGTGTCGTCAACTGACCGGTGGTCTTTCAGTGTGGTGGGGCAAGGACTTGCACGCCCCCCCCCCTGGGGGGCATAAGTGTGGTTCTTGCCCAAAAATGCGTGTGGTTTTTGCCCATGCATTGCGTTTTTTGCATTTTTTGCATTCAGGCAAGTGCACCCAGACTCCTCCCCCTCCCCTCGCGCTGCGGTTGCTTACTTGCGCGTGGAGAACGAGGTTGTAGTCGACCGAGACAGCGAGCACCCTGGGAGGGACATCATTACCTTTTTGGAGGATTAGGTGCACACGCTATGGAGGCCGTGTGTCAGTGAATCCATGCAACTGCAAAGAATGCAGAAAAAGCATATGCAGCTGAAATGCAGTTGCCCACCGAATGCATCATGCAACGAAATGCAATCACGCGCAAAATGCAAAAAATGCAAATGCAACCAAATGCAATCACGCGCAAAATGCAAAAAATGCAAATGCAACCAAATGCAAACACGCGCAAAATGCAAAAAATGCAAATGCAACCAAATGCAAACACGCGCAAAATGCAAAAAATGCAAATGCAACCAAATGCAAACACGCGCAAAATGCAGAAAATGCAGATGCAGTCTTGAATGCACTAGAATGCGTTCAAATGCCATGATATGTGCGATATGCACATAATGCAAAAATGCAAAAAATGTGCATGGGCAAAAACCACACGCATTTTGGGGCAAGAACCACAACACACCCGACCCCTTTGGGAGGTTCCCCGGAGGGAGGTTCGTGTCATGAGAGAAGATACACTCCTCGTGTATCTAGAACGGACGGAAGATACACTGAAGATCACTTATGCGAAGATACACGGTCCGGCCCAAACGAGGAGGTGTATCTTCATATGAAGATACACCGCGGCCCAAACAAAGAGGTGTATCTTCACAGACCGCGTTGATAGCGGCGGCAGCCGGCAAGCGGGCAGTGTAACGGTGCAGGCGGGCGGGTGGATTTGACGAGGGCGGAGCCTTCTAGGCGATGGTGGATGGAACCCCTTTTGTAGCAAGGCCTTTTTCCGAGTCGCCGTCCCAGAAGGAAGAACTAATGAAACGCCGAGGGTCCTCAGATGGACGACGACATGCCTCCACAGGCCCACAAAATACCGCGGTATTTTGCCGATTTGGCTGATTTTCAAACGACAACTCTCTCTCACAGGTTCGACACACGAGAAATGATGTTAGCATAAAACTCCCACGCACGACAAGAACCTCGCAGCGACGACAGTGAGGGTGTGACAGACCCAGGGAAGGCCTTTCCCCCCCACTACCTTACAGCCCCTGCCTGAGCTCAAAACGGACAACCCAAGGCGCGCCTGCCCAGTGTTGTGCGAGAGCCGCTGGTAAAATTGGGTCATAAAATTCTTTTGCTCGCGATGTCAAGATGGGCGGTATGGGCCTCACCAGTGCCGTGGACATTCGTGAGCCGGCGTGGATTGGCACTTGGGCCCTCGTCGCCGAGCCGATGCGCCACCTGCACGCTCCTTTCCGCGACCTTGACGTGAGCAAGGCGCCGGGCTCCGATTTCGACGAGCTGCGTGCGGCGCACAACAGGCTCAAGAAGGAGCACGGCAGGATCTCGGCGACGTGGAAGGTGTGGGACGACAGGACGAAGGCGGAGTACTTCGACCTGGTCGGCGGCACGACGGGCAGGCCCCCGGACGTCGAGGTGGAGCTGTGGGACGAGCCCGACGAGGGCGAGAAGCTGCGCGCCTCCGCGAAGCCGCCAGAGCCGGCTGAGAGGAAGGCGCTCTCGCGCTTCCGGCCGCATACTCTCGTCCCGCCCGAGCAGCTGCTGCCCCTCGCCGAGTTCACGTCCAAGCACGAGTTCCTACACCAGGCGCAGCGGCGCTTCACGACGGTGGTCCACAACAGGAACTGGCGCGACCTCGCAGAGGAGCTCGCCGCGGTGGCGCGGAGGGCTCCGCGGGATCGCGGTCTGCTCCGCGTGGCCATGGAGAGATGGCTGGGGTGCCTGGTCTTTTTTCTTTCTCTTTTCCTGTGTGTCAAGAAAAGGTCAAGAACACTCACTCGCTCACTCACATAAACATTGTCCTGTCCCCCCGTGTGTCGGTGCATCGCCGCGCTGCACGTTTGCGCACGATCGCGCAACCGATCAGACCTGCCGCTGCACCGACGACGCCTCGCCTCCAGAGACGTCGCGCGCCTCCGCAGAGCTGCGGCTGCTCATCTTGGCGAACACCCGGCTGAGGCCGCCAAAGCTGCGCTTCGCGAGGCTGGTGCTGCCCTCAGCGACGCTGCCCGAAACGAGGAGGTCCGCCCGCGACCGAGCGGGGGTCGCGCCTAGGCTCTTTGCCAGAAGCACGAGCGACACCTGCGGACAGGGACGACCCGCTCGTCACGAAAGGCAAAGCCAAACTGTGGGAGAGAGGGCGCGCGCCTTGCGGTGGCGCCCGGGGAAGCACGATTTTGCCAGGTCCGTGTAGAGTCCGCCGGCGATGAGCTCCTGCGGCGTTGGGAGGAGAGGGTTGCGGGGGGAGGGGAGGCTCGGGACGGGCGCCAATGTGAGACATTCGCTCCTGCGGCGTGACTTCGAACATTCTGTCAAACGCGCAGCCGCCGAGCGCGGGGTCGTTCTCGTGCGCCATGACGATCTTCAGCTTGTCCTCGCGCGCCTGCTTGACCTGCTCGGCCAGCCGCTCGCCGTCGTCCTCTAACCAGGTATTCTGATTGAGGTAGAGAAGCATGTGGGTCACATCGCCGGCGCGGCGCGTTCGGCGTGCCAACCCGCGAGGTGCCATGGAGGGGCGCGCTGATGCAGAAGAGCCAACGTCCGCAACGGTAGAGACGGTGAGGCCGGGAAAGGCCCCGGCAAGCTCGTGAGCCAGCTCTGCGGCGCCCGGGTTGGCTGGCGAGGCCCAGAGCGTGCACGGTTTGGAAAAGGCGAGCGACTGGCTCTCGAGCTCGCCCGACACGCAGAGCGGGAGGGAGGTCTTGTCCAGAAAGTTGGGCGAACAGAGGAGCACCGCCTAGGGTGGTTCAAGTGGGGTTGGTTGGGAGACGGAGAGGACTGCGGAGCGGGTGGCTGCGGCCGGGGGCGCCTCGGCGATGATTTTGAGGGAGACGAGCTGAAACTCATCGATGCGATACCAGATCGTGAGCGGCCAGTCCTTGTCAAAGATGGCCGGCTGCAGGTCCTCGGGGCACTCGTCGCGCAGCGCCTGCAGCGTCCCGCCGCCCTTTTCAGGGTCCGCTTCTTGGACGAGGACGAGCGGCTTGTCCTTCTCGAGCGACGAGCGGACCTCTCGGAGGCAGTTCTGTGGCGCGGGAGAGGCGGGAGGTAGGGCCAGAGTGCCGGCAGAGACGGGAGGGGACAGGCGCGCCTTAGAGCGGAAGTAGCCCTGCGAGAGGAAGAAGAGGATGGCTTGCGAGCGTTGGATGTACTCCTCGAGCGCCCCGATATCCTTAAGATCATCTACCTATGAGAGCACACCGCGGAGCGTCAGAGGGGCTGCGGTAGCTAAGCAGCGCTGCTGAGCGTGTGCGCGCATCAAGAAAGACTTTGATGTCCGGCAGCAGCTGCTGGAGCTCGCCCTTGATGACCTTTACGGCGTCTTGACCGGTCGACCTATCGGAATCCGCCGGGTAACTATATTGTGGCGGGTTGCTGTTCCTCTTCTCCCTCCATAGCTATGACTCACCAGATGTGGCTGTTGAAGAGGTGCCACGTGAGGCCGGTCCCGATGCTCAGCTCGGGGGGCTGCTTGGTCGAGACGAGGCGGATCGTGGGGAGCTTGGCGACGCGGTGGGCGGCGGCGATGGCGCCGACGAGGAAGAAGGCGAGCACGACTGCAACGAGGATGATCATCGAGTTGACAATCACATTGAGCTTGCCGAACCCGAGGACAGCGGCGGCCTCCGCTGTGTCGGGGTGCCTCTCCTCGATGCTCAGGAATATGGTGCTCCAGTTGGCGCCGAGGAAGAGCAGGAGGAGCACGAGACTCGTGGCGACGGCTAGCACGTTGTCCTCGACCCGCTTGTATGGCCGCACGACGGCGAGCGCGACGGCGTAGCATGAGCAGACTAGGGTCGCCACCACGAGGCGAACAAAGGCTCGCTCCTCCGGTATCAGCAGCACGAAGCCGGTCAGCACGAGCTTGCGCGCCAGCTCGACCACCTCCCACCAGTACCAGGTCTTCTCGTACTCCCGGTGGAGGAATGCGGTGGCCCGCGTCAGAGCATTCGGCGTCTTGGCCTGCAGCGGCTTGTAGCAGGCGGCGAGGAGCGACGTGAAGAGGACCAGCGAGCCGGCGGGCCAGAGGACGATGAAGCCGGTGGCGACGTCGGTGATGGACTCGTGATCCTCGGTGCCGCACTCGACGCTCGCGTCCTGCCGCATGTAGGAGACCTGCCGCAGGGGCTCGTTTGGCGGAGAGATGGTGTAGGCCTATCAGCAGAAACTTACGAGGACTGAGGCCGGCGGGGTGGGGTTGTGAGCAACGGTAGTCAGCTGTGAGAGGGCGCCTGGCACGACCAGGATTGAAAGATGGAGGCGCTGATGGTGGGCACGAAGCAGAAAATGAGCACCAGGCCCGCCGGCGTGAGGTCGAGGAGGCCAAGGGCCGCCTCCGCGTACCACGGCCTCTCGCGCGGCGCCGGGGCGGCGCGCCAGCAGTGGAGCCGCAGGCTTATTCCCGCGATCATTAGCAAGGCGATGAGGGCGACGGGGGAGAGGGCGATGGCGAGGAGCCGCAGAGCGTAGCCGAGGCACTGCTCCGGCAGGAAAAAGCCAGACCAGTCAATGGAGATCGCATTGGCCAGCTTGTCCGTCCAGCCCGTGTACTCTGGCGGCAGCCGCGCGGAGTAGGTGGACGACAGGACGGTGCAGATCTGGTAGAAGCCGAACAGGATCTTGAGCTTGGCCGTCATTCCGACCCCGACGTAGTACTTGACGGAGCGGTCTGCAAAGCGGAGGATAGGGCCGATGAAGCGCTCCTTCCGCCACGGCATGTTGTAGGCCCACGCCGCCAAGCCGCACGCGACGCAGAGGCCGAGGACGAGGCCGACGATGCGGCCCGCAGCGGCGCCGCGCGGAGTGCATACTTCGCAGTTGTCGCCGTCGACGAGGTAGTGATTCTCTGCGTCGCAGAGCTGGCACTCGGGGCCTTTGAAGTCCGAAGCGCAGTACTCTGAGCCCGCCTGCACCATCCTCCGTCGGCGAGAGGCCTCTCCCGCCACCGACTCGCTGCCGGCGCATCGCGTCTTGCCAGCCTTGGCATTGCCGCCAAAGAGGCGGCACTCTGTCAGCACGGCGCTGAAGGGGCTGGCGCGCCAGAAGCCGCGCGGGAGGACGAGAGAAGAAAGGGTGGTGTTGTCCGGGCAGGCAGCGTTCGGCGGGCATGACTTGCAGTACTTGGTCGGGGAGGGCAAGATGTCGTCCGGGTCGGCCGAGATGTTGCGCAAGAAGTACCCGGCCATACAAAACGAGCAGGTGGTGCTGCCGTTGGCCGAGCTGAGGGGGTGAGGACACGGGACGCACAGGCCTTGGCCGGCGTTGGCGGCGTAACGGCCAGCCTCGCACTCGCTGCACGCGTCGCTGCCTTGACCCGACGAGGTGCCGGGAGGGCAAGGCTCGCACTTGGACTGCCTTTCTTGTGCGGCAAAGGTGCCAGGGAAGCACGGCGTCGGCTCGATGCTGCCCGTGGAGCAGGCGCTGCCGGCGGGGCAGGCCGTGCACTCACCCGCGGCGGTGAGGTTTGTTGCGTTCGAGTAGCTGCCAGGTTCGCAAGGCAGCGACGCCGTCGCGCCCGGCTCGCAGTAGCTGCCTTTCTCGCACGCGCGGCAGCCCACCGCACCCTTGTCGTTCTGGTAGGTCCCGCCCTCGCACGGCTCGCACTCGGAGAGGCCGCCCGTGGCGGCGTAGCTGCCCTGGGCGCACGGCGTCTGCTGCGTGGAGCCCGCGGTGGTGGCGAAGTGGCCCGGATCGGCAGCGGTGCACTCGCTCGCGGCTCCGGTCGCGCTCTGGTAGGAACCCTGTGGGCACCGCTTGCAGGCCTCGCTGCCCTCCCCAGGTGCGAAGCTGCCGGCGCGGCAAGGCACACAGGTAGCTTTCGTTGTCGCTCCGGTGTCAGAGCTGGAGGTGCCGTTAGGGCAAAGAAGGCACGATTCGATTGAGGTGGAGCGGATATCCGGATTGTAGGTGCCGGCGGGGCACGCTTTCCGGATCATTCTCCCGTCCACCACGTCGCAGTAGCCGCCCGGCTCGCAATCCTCACAGCCCGAGCTCCCGGCGTCGGCCGAGTAGGTCCCTGCAGGACACGCGATACAGTTTGCCTGTCCGGTCTCCGACTGGTACTGCCCACGCGGGCAGTCGAGGCAGTCAATTTCTCTGGACGCGCCGAGCAGAGGCATGCGGGTCCCGGCGGGGCACTGCTGACAGGCATCTGGTGAGCTGCTGCCCGTCTTCTCGTTGTAGCTCCCCGCAGGGCAGGGTGTGAAGCCGCCGCCACAGTCGTCTGTGACTTCGCAGTACCCACCCGCGGCACACAAGTCGCACGACGTCTGCCCGCGCTCCGGCTGGAACTCGCCAGCAGGGCACTTCACACACGCAGCCTGGCCGGTGAGGTTCTGGTACTGCCCTGCGGCACAGTCGAGGGGTTGCACGGTGCCTGCATTCGGGCAGAAGCGTCCCGCGGGGCAGTCGGTGCAGCTGGTGGCGTTGAGCTGATCGGCGAACGTGCCAGGAGGACACGCGTCGCAGGGACGGTCCGCGCCGGCTGTGGACTGGCTCGTCCCCGGAGAGCAAGGGAGGCACGACTCGGCACTGGCTGCGCCAATCACGGGCATGTAGAAACCAGGCGCACACGGGAGCGGTTCCGCTGTGCCCTTGGGACAAAAGTGGCCTCGCTTACACGCACCATCGCAGGAGGAGTTGGTGAGGCCGCTCCTGTTGCCGTAGTAGCCAGCGGGGCAGAGGTTGCACTCGGGGACGCTGAAGTCGCCAAAAAAGGAGCCCTTGCGCGGCATCCAGCTGCCCAAGCGGCAGTCCCAGTCTATCGCAGAGTTGACTGTCTCTATCGTGGCACCGTCGTTGTCGTCGCCAGCGGTGTTGCCGGTGAAGGAGGCGTCGCTGATCGAGGAGGGCGTGTTTGAAAGGTACAGCACCGAGGCTGAGATCGCCGCTCTGTTGTCGATGAAGTCGACAACCGCGATGGAAAGGGACTCACTGTTAGACGCGAAGACGACGCCGCCGTTCTGCGAGGAGAGAGCGGGGTGACGCAGCCGTGGCCCTCTCTATCTTTCGCCCCGCTGCCGTGCGGCGCTGCTGGAGTGCGGCTAGCTCTACGCGGCGCACATTGCCAGCAGAGCAGCCCGACACATCCGAGTTGATGATCGAGACCGCACCGCTGTCATACGCGTAGACGACGCCGCCGATCTGCGGTTGCGAGGAGAGAGCGGGGTGACGCAGCCGTGGCCCTCTCTATCTCTCGCCCCGCTGCCGTGCGGCGCTGCTGGGGTGCGGCTAGCTCTACGCGGCGCACATAAGAAGCAGAGCAGTCCGACACATCTAAGTCGATGATCGAGACCGCACCGCTGCCCTCCGCGTAGACGACGCCGCCGATCTGCGGTTGCGAGGAGAGAGCGGGGTGACGCAGCCGTGGCCCTCTCTATCTCTCGCCCCGCTGCCGTGTGGCGCTGCTGGAGGGAGGCTAGCTCTACGCGGCGCACAGAGCCAGCAGAGCAGCTCGTCAGATTCGAGCCGATTAGCGAGACCGCACCGCTGTACCTCGCCCAGACGACGCCGCCGTGCTGCGGTTGCGAGGAGAGAGCGGGGTGAGGCAGCCGTGGCCCTCTCTATCTCTCGCCCCGCTGCCGTGTGGCGCTGCAGGGGTGGCGGCTAGCTCTACGCGGCGCACATTGCCAGCAGAGCAGTCTCTGACCGTCGAGTCGATGATCTCGACGTCGCCTGCCTGGTAAGCGTACACAACGCCGCCGTTGTCCGTCCTCCCGTTGACGAGGGTCAGCCCCCGCAGGGTGAGGCTGCAGCCGCCCGAGAGGTAAAAGAGCCCGGTCTGTTTCTGGCCGTCGAGCGTCGCGCCCTCGCCGCTGCTCGCGACGGTCACCTTGATGTCGGAGCCGCAACTGATCTGGCTGAGAAGCTTGAAGTCCGCACTGGGCGGCAGGTAGATTGAGACGTCGGCTTGCGAAACAGCAGCCTCCGCGATCAGGGAGCGGAGCTTAGCCTCGCTCGACGCGGCGACATCGAAGCCGGGGAAGACCGGCGGCATAGAGGGCGGAGACGGCATGGACGGCGGCAGAGGCGGCAGCGACGGCGGCGACGGAGAGGACGGAGGGAGGGGGGCGAGGATGAACGTCTCGCTGCCGTAGGATCCGGAGCCGAGCGTGAACGTATAGCCCGCACCCTTCCACTCGACGCCGTTCCAGCCGTCGCCGTACGAGTCGTACATGTTGAGCGTGCACTCGCCGGGCGGCGCGGACAGAGTGCCGGAGTAGGGGGCCCCTCCACTGCCGATCAACGCGCCGCTGCACGTCAGGGTCCACGACACCTCGGACGGATAGCTGCCGCCTCCCACAGTGACCTGGAAGTCGCCCGAGCCAGACGTGTGGGCTGATGGTGCACATGCCAGCGGGAGCAGCGCGGCGAGAATCAGCAGCCACGCGCCACGCCTCGCCCCCGTCCGGCACCGCACGAGGCGCCCCGAGCTGCTCCTCCGCACCGAGAGCAGCACGCCGCCGCACGCTCCGAGCAGCACGAACAAGGCGGCCCAAAACTGACAGCGCTGCTGGGTGCGGACAGGCGCGGAAGAGGGTCCGCTCATGAAGGGAAAGTGGAACGGGGAGGTAAGGGATTGCTCATCGGTCTTGTAGAGCTCGTCGGTGAGTGGCGGCTTGTGGTAAGGCTGCGCATGCCACGCAACGGCGGCAGCGGCGCCGCACTCTGTCTTGCACACCTTTATGACCGTCTCGTCGGCCTCGATCTTGGAGTGAGCCGTGGCGGCCGTGAAGCCCGCCTCCTCAGTCGTGAAGCCCGAGGCCTTGATCGGATCCTCAGAGACGCAGAGCTCGGCGAGCGGCTGTGTTGGCTCCGCGCGCCACACAGGTTCGGTGAGCGGCTGCAGTGGGGTGCCGCCGCCGCACGTGAAACCGATTTCGACGGCGGGGTCGGCGAGCGAGACGTCACCATTCTTGGCCGTGCCGGTGGTCGCAAAAAAGGAGGCGAGCTCGGCGTCGGCCGCGGCGCCGATGGGCTTGAAGGTAGTCGGGCGGCCGGCGGCGCGTGAGGCGGCGCCGCTGAACTTGGAGAGGTTGAAAGGGTAAGAGAAGGTCGGCTGGAAACCGGTTTGGAAGGTGGCGTCCGGCCGGACACCGAACAGCGCCCACCCACCCCCGAGGACGTCTTGGTGGAGCAGGAGCTCCGCGGCCTTGTCGGGTTTGCGCGAGGCAGACGCCGCGAGGGCAGGCGCCGGCGCGTCGCCGTCGGTAGGGAGCTTGATGCAGAAGGCGGTGCGGTTGCGCGTGCCGATGAGTGCCTCCCCGCGCCGCGGACGGGAGCGAGAGGCGGGGTTGGAGTGCGCCGCGAGAAGAGCGAGGGCGAGCATGACAAAGGAGCAGAAGTAGGCGGAGCAGATGCAGGTCACGGGCGCACACCGCACAAAAAGAATTTTCAAGGCAAATCCTTCGTGCAGGTGGACTGTCCTCCTCCCCTATCCCTCGTGTGTCTTTCTGACCTCGGTGCTGTTCAGCTGCGTCTCGCTCATTTCTTGCTCCTCGCACCTTCCGCACATCAGTAAGGAAAGCTCGTCGATACCGGCGAGACCTTTCAGCACATTATGCCACCGAAGCTGAACTGCACGCGACTTTTTTGCAGGTGGTGGAAATGGCCACTGCTGTGCCACCTTGGGCAATGAGATTTTGTCGCGGACATGGCGTAATAGCACGTAAGCGTCCATCTCAGGGCGCCACGGGCTGGCGCTGTGCTTCGATCGGCCGGATGCGTGGACGGCCATGAGGCTGCAACGCAGAGCATCGGGAAGAGGCGAGATGTAGTCTTCTTGCACCACTGGGTCGGACGAGAAGGGACCGCCGTTCATGGCAGCGAGAGCGTAGAGGAGCAACCTGTGCATCGCCAGCACAGAGCCAGCACGCGCCTCGAATCGGTCAGGGGATCGTGGCGGCGATCGCTGGACACGTCCCTGTCCCCTCGACGGCGAACTCGATCGGATGCATCGTGACATCTGACAACTGAATTTCCACTGGTTCGTCCTCCTCGGAGTCATCTTCCCCGTCCTCCTTCCGTTCGGCTCTTCGCTCGGTACGTTCGGTGTGGCTCACCCTCCATGCCGTGAACAGGCGCTTTATCCACCCTATATTCTTCTCTCGTTCCTCTGCCCGTGCCTTGGTCTTGTCGTTGTTTCGCACCCATGTCTGTATGGCAATCGAGGCTGCCTTCCCCACTACCTGTAGTTCACTCGTCACCTCTCCCGCGAGCTCCCTTCTCTTTCTTTCGGGTATGGAGTCCGTGAGTGCGGGTAGCGTGCAGGCAATCACGGGCGCTATTTTGTCGTACTCCTCTTCGGCGAGCGCTCCAAATCTAGACCCTTTCGCCTTTAAGGAGGCTGCCCTCGCGCGTCTCAGGAATGTGGCGGTGTCTTTTGAGTCCGGCGCCTCCCGTTCAACTCTTGCTGTCGCCCTCGCTGTGTGTTTGTCGAGCTTCCGCATGAAGTGACGCGCCTCTTCCTTATTTCCAGCGCAGCTGCCGCTCAGTATGTGCGCCAACGACGCCTGTGGTGGCTCACTGTCTTCTTGTTTCCAGTCGTCCCAGTCTTTCAGCTCCCCGCGTCTCCTCCTCGCCTCGCGCTCCTCTTTTGTGGCCTCATCCCTAGCCGCTTTGCACGCTCTGCATCCCCTCTAAATTCTTTGAGGCCGTCGAAATTCTTTTTCTCGCGATGTCTGCCCCTCCGCGCCGCCGCTCGCGCCGCCTCGCCACCGCCGGCGCCACCGCCTCGCCTCACACACCGCCGCCCGCCCGCCTCCTCGACCTCCCCACGGCGCTCCTCGAGCACGTCCTCTCTCGCTGCGACAGCCCCCTCGACATCGCTCGCGCCGCGGGCATCTCGCGCGTCTTTCACGCCTCGCTCGCAGAGGAGGGCATCCGCAAGTGGGCGAGAGAGCGCGGCTACGAGCTTCCGGCGCAGCCAGAGGGCGAGGGCTGCGCCGTGCGGTGGCTGTGCTTTGCGGCGCTGCTGCGCGAGGCCAACCCGCCGGCGAGGGCGGCGGCAGGCGAACGGCATAGCCTCTTCATCGACGGCGAGGGGCGGCTATCGTCGTGCGGCTCGGCTGAGAACTGGCAACGAGGCCTCCTCGGCCACGGCGAGGGCGTGACGCGGCTCAACACGCCGACCCGCCTCCCCTCTTTGCTGGGTGGCGAGCGCGCCGTGAGCGTGTCGGCTCGAGGTCTGCACAGCCTCGCCCTCACCACTGATGGCTCTGTCTGGAGCTGGGGCTGTGGAGACATCTCGGGCCACGGCGACCACCAGCGCCGGCCGCAGCCGAAGAAGATCGAGGCACTTGCTGGTCAGCGCGGCGTCGCTGTGTCGGCTGGAAGCAGCCACAGCCTCGCCCTCACCGCCGACAGAGCCGTCTGGAGCTGGGGCTGGGGAGACGTCGGCCAGCTGGGCCACGGCGACGAGCAGATCCAGTGGCAGCCTAAGAAGATCGAGGCCTTTGCTGGCCAGCGCGTCGTCGCTGTATCGGCAGGGAAAGAGCACAGCCTCGCCCTCACCGCCGACGGCGCCGTCTGGAGCTGGGGCTGGGGAGGCTTTGGCCCGTTGGGCCACGGCGACGAGCAGAACCAGCTGCTGCCCAAGAAGGTCGAGGCGTTGGCTGACCAGCGCGTCGTCGCTGTGTCTGCTGGACCCTACCACAGCCTCGCCCTCGCCGCCGATGGCGCCGTCTGGAGCTGGGGCTGGGGAGACGTCGGCCAGCTGGGCCACGGCGACGAGCAGAACCAGCTGCTGCCCAAGAAGGTCGAGGCCTTCACTGGGCACCGCGTCGTCGCTGTGTCGGCTGGATGGTACCACAGCATCGCCCTCATTGCCGACGGAGCCGTCTGGAGCTGGGGCTATGGAGGCGACGGCCGATTAGGCCACGGCGACAATCAGCACCAGCAGCTGCTGCCCAAGAAGGTCGAGGCTTTGGCTGACCAGCGCGTCGTCGCTGTGTCGGCGGGAAATGAGCAAAGTATCGCCATCACCGCCGACGGCGCCGTCTTCACCTGGGGCGAGGGCCGCCGCGGCTGCCTAGGCCACGGAGAGGACGTATCGAACCAGCTGCTGCCCAAGAAGATCGAGGCGTGGGTAAGGGAATGAGGTAACGTTTGTGCCTGTGGCATTCTCTCGTTCACTACCCGGGTAGTCCCTTCGAGATGTCCCTTCGAGATGGGGGGGGGGGCGGCCCCGCCGCGCCCCCGGCCACCATGGAGCATGGTCCATGGACCATGCTCCATGCATGCATGCACCAAACCGGCGAACGAACGAAGAAGTCTTGTCGTTCGGCCGAATGCTGTGTGCTCGTGGTCAAACGTAAAGCCGTCGCCGGCGCACAGGCGCTCTACGTCTACGTACTACGAACTACGTGCCAACCAGCAGGCCCGCCGAGACGCGGCTCCACGAACTCGGTCGAGCTGCGATTGACGCGGGAGAGGGGTTGATTGACAGAGGTATGTGTGTATGTAGGAAGGTGAAGAATCACTCCCTTTGTTGCCACTCATAAAATCGTTGGGTCGCTTCAGTTCACGAAGTCCCCGCGTGGGCCGACCCTCTGAGTTTATGAGAAGAGAACAAAGGGAGTGGTGAAGAGTAGTCAGGCGGCAGAGGGGTTCCGCGGGTCTCTCAAAACAAAAAAACGCCGAAACGCGCACCGCGCACCTATTGCAACCTCGCGCGCAACGGCCGCCCGCATGCCCCTATCTGGCCGCTCCACGCCGACTGCGGACGGCTCCGCCCGCACTTCGAGTGCATCCTCCGCCGTCCGCGTGACGGTCCGCGTGCGGCCGCCGCCCGAGGGCGCACGCGGCGTCGCCGAGGCGGTGGACGTCTCATCAGACAGCGGCACACTCACGCTCGACCACGGGGACGGACGGCCGCCGCGTGCAATGCGGTTCGACTCGGTGCACGGGCGCGAGACGACGCAGCGGGAGTTCTTCGAGCGCTGCGGCCTGTGCGACCAGATCGACGCCGCGCTCGACGGCTACTCCGCCACAGTCTTTGCGTTTGGCCAGACCGGAAGCGGCAAGACCTACACGATGGCAGGCAAGGCGGCGGAGGCGCCTCGCGGCGTCCGCGGTGGCGCCGGCCCTGTGGGCGGCGAGGCGAGCCGGCAGGACGGACTGATGCAGCGCGCGGCGAGGCGGTTATATGCCCAGATTGGCGAGCGCGAGGCGCAGGGGCAACGCTTCACGGTGCGCGCCACCTTTCTCGAAATCTACAACGAGCAGGTGCACGATCTGGTGGAGCCGGCTTCGGGCGCCCTCGGCGTGCGTGGCTCGACTTCGCAAGGCTTCTACGTGGAGGACCTCTCCGTCGTCCAGTGCCGCGGGCTGCACGACCTCGAGTATGTCATCTCACAGGTGACTGCTTGCCGAGAGATGTGCTCCCAGACACTTCCAACACCTGCGCTCGACATGTCCAAGACACCTGCTAGACGGCTCTCCAGACACTCACGAGGCGCCCCATCTCTGGACCACATCACTGCCTGATGGTGGATTTTGCCGCCGCCCTCGCAGGGGCTCGCCCACCGCCACTCGCGCCACCACCTGCTCAACCAGCACTCGTCCCGCTCGCACGCGGTGCTCTCCGTCTACCTCGACGTGGCCGACTCGGCCGAGGCGCCGCCCGGCCGGTACGGCCGCCTCTCGCTCCTCGACCTCGCCGGCTCGGAGAACGTCCGCGCGTCGCAGTCGAGCGGCGGCGGCCTCAAGGAGGCGGGCGCCATCAACCGCTCGCTCTTCGCGCTCGCCCAGGTCATCAAGTCGCTCTCGCTCGGCCCGGGCCGTGGCCCGCCGCACGTGCCGTACCGCGACTCTGTCCTCACCAAGCTGCTCGCCGACTCGCTCGGCGGCAGCGCGCACACCCTCATGATCGCCACCGTCTCACCGCTCGCCGCGTACCTCGACGAGACTGTCAGAACGCTGCACTACGCGTGCTCGGCCGGCGCGAGCCACAGCCGGCCGGTGGTCGAGAGCGCGAAATAGGGCGACCCCATGCGCGTCGTGTGCATCTCATAGGAGCGATCCGCAACCGGCCCGTGGTCAAGCTCGACCCGCAGCAGCAGCTCATCGCGAAGCTCAAGGCGGAGGTGCTCGAGCTCAAGCAGCAGGTGCCGGCTCTCACGCATCACCCTCGAGAGATAACCTGAGCTCACCAAGGGCACCCGAAAGAGCCGAAGATGCGACCCCTGATGCGACTTCCACAGGTTGAATTCCTCACGCACAAGCTCACCCACGCCAACACGCGCCTCGCCTCGCGCGCCACCGACGGCGACGAGCAGCATGCCTCGTCTTTGCAGCACGCTGTGGCCGAGCCAAGGGCGCACCACTTCGAAGCGTGGACACCCTGCACCGATGAGGCGCCCCGGCGGGGGTTCGGCGAAAGGACTCCGGACTCCTCTCCGCGGCAGTACCACCCGACCCCCGTCAAGCCGAGGGGCGAGGGCGAGAGGGGCGAGGGAGAAAGGGGCGAGCGCGGCGGCGAGAGGCACGAGCCGGAGCCGCTGCGCGAGCGGGAGGTCAGCGACGAGCTCCCTTCGCGCGCTTGGCCGCCCAGCTGGGGGGGCGTGCCCGCCCCGGCGGAGCCTCCGTCGAGCCTCGCCAATTCGTCCCTCTCACCCGACTCGGCTGCCGCCGCGTCCTTTCGCGCGCCGGTGGCCTTCTGCGACTTGTCCAACCAAGCGTGGGGCGCCCCGGCGGCGCAACCGCCTGCACCCGCGCGGCCTCATACGGCCCACGCCTCTGGCGGCAGCTACGCTTCTGAGCGCGGGCTGATTGGCAATGGGCATGGGCACGAGGCGGCGCGCCAGCTCTACGCGGCACTCGCAAGGTGTGGGCGAGATCCGACTAAGATCTTGACGGCCCATAGGCGCGCCAACTCGATGCGGTGCTCGCGCGCCTCGCGGCCGCCGATGCCGCGAGCGGCGTGCACGGTGGCACGCCTCTGCGCACGGCAGCGGCGCGGCCGCCGCACTCGCGTGTCAAGCAGCCGCGAGCGTCGCGTTCGCCCGCTGCCGGACTCGACCCCGACCTCGAGCGGTGGGTGCGCGACCTGCAACTCACAGCTGGCCATGGCGCCACTGCCTCCGCCGCCGCCGCCGCCGCCACCGCCACCGCCACCAGCCTCCTCGACGGCGGCGGCGTTGTCAGCAGCCCCTTGGGCGCGAGACATGCCCTCTCTGAAGAAGACAAGACGGCCTTCGCATGACCAAGACGCTCGAGACGCGTCCATAGGCGCGAGCCCCGCCTCTCTGAAGGAGAATGCGAGCACGGCGCCGCTCGCGACGCCCAACGGCACGGCGCACCAGCGCCGCTCCCACTGCAAGCGCACGCGTCCCGACACGTCCACGTCACATCCTCAGGCGTGATGCATCTCCGCAGTGGGGCGAGCGGCGCTCTGTCTGCGGGCGCCAAGACGGCGGCGCCGACCGCGGCTCGACGCTCTGAGCGCGAGCTTGTCCTCGAGAAGGTGGCCTTCTGGGGAGTTTCCTCCTCACTGCGACCCATAGCCCACCCCCGTGGAACCCCACCCGACAGGAGCTGCGGCAGCTGACGAGTTTCTCCCTGACCAAGCCCGGCCCGCCCCCCTCCTTCTCGGCGCGCGAGCCGAGCCCGCGCCCGCTCGCATGGACCAACGGGGGGGTTGGCGCTGCGGGGTCTGCAGATGAGCGGGTGCTCCGCATCGAGCAGCCTCCCGGCCACGGGCGGGATGCGCGGCGGGCGCGGTCTCCGGACTATGCGCCCGAGCCGCCCAGCGCCGTCGCAGAGGCTCCGCCGCCAACCGCCGGCGGTGGGGGGGGCGGCATCATCCGGCGCAGCGCACGCGAGCTCGAGCTCGAGCGCACCTTGAGAGAGCTGACGAAATTCTCGGTGCTGTGATTCGGTGCCCTTGTGTGTGTAGTTTATCTCCCCGCACTTGGAGCGCTTGGACTGAAAGTCCGCTTTGTCTTTTTGCCGCCCAGAATTCTTTTGGAGTGACATCAAGGACGCGGTGTAAATTCTTTTCGAGCCCTGGGGGGGGGGGGGGGGCCCCCTGGCAAATACAAACCACGCCTGCTATTCACAGCACAAGCCCTCGCCGGGGCTCGAGCACGCGCAGCGAAAAGCAGCGAAAAGCAGGCGTGCGGCATGCGGAGCTCCCCACCGGCGGGGGGCTTGAAAACACTGAGCCGAGCGCGCCGGCGGCGGACCGCCGCCGGCGCGCTCGCTTCGGCGGATGGCTGAGCGGCACAGTTTCTGGCCGCCCGGCCTGCGAGCAGTCGCCGCGAGACGATCAAAGGCGCTCAATTCAAGCGCGCCGCCATGCCAGATCTCGCCCCACGCCCCGGCCAGACCGGGCAGTGCGTGCAGGAATGATGCAGGCATGATGGGTGGGTGTGGTGAGCACGCCAGCGGCACCGCTGCGCACTCTCAGGGTCGCAGCCGCCTATCTCGTGAGGGGCGTGGCTCGGGGCGGGTGCGAGAGAGTCGAGGAGCGCGGCGCGCGTGCGCGCGCGTGGTAAAGTCGGTTTATATTTCATCACTGGTATAAAAGAGACCCAAAACGGCACTCGCACCGCGCCCGCGCGCGCTCGTATCACCTCAACACTCACACAGCACGCTTGAACGAAGCCCCCGAGGGGCGAGCCGGACCGGCTGTGGAGCTACTTGGAGGAGACGGTTCTCTTCGCAGATCCATGAGGAGCTGTGAGGAGGCACATTTCCGGCTGGTTTCGGCGGCAGAGTGTGATAGACTCACGTGGAACCGCCGGCGGGGCGAGAGCCAGCAGCGGGCAAACCGCGCCTCCGGTGCTCCGCTGCGATGACGAGCTGGCGCCAGCCACGCGCGGCCTGGCCAGGTCGGCAGGCGAGCAGCAGGCATGCCGAGCGCGTGCGCGCGCGGCTGTCTCGTTGAGGCGGCAGAGCAGGCCGCATGTTGAGCAAAGAGGGCTCCAACACCCATCCTCGCCGAAAGACGGCGATCCAACCCTCCGCTTGTCACACGCCTCCTTTTTCCAGACGGATCTCCCCCTGTGAAAAAGTGAGGCGTGGTCTGTACTCGCCAGGGGGGCGCGCCGGCTCTCCACACTTCGTTCGCAGCTGCGCCTGGTGTCGGTCTCATTTCTTATGGCGGCTCCCGACTGCATGCCGGACGCGCTCTGCGATTTCCTCGAGGAGTTCTGCATGCCTGGACCGTCTGAGGATGGGCTGCCGGATGGACCGCCTTCTTCTGCCGCTTGCCCAGAGCCAGTTGCTACGCCGCACCCGAAGAGGACAGTGGCGTGCGAGGTGGCGTGCGAGGAGTGCAGCGAGGTGGCGTGGGCCGACGCGGCCGCCCTGAGCTTGCAGGAGAACGGCTTTGTCGTCCTCCGAGCCTCGACGGCGGAGCCGCTCATCGATGCGGCGACGTGCGAGGAGTGCCGCCGAATCGCCGCGGCGCAGCTGGCGCGACTCTTCGCGCTCTTGCGAGGTCGCGGCGTCGATCCGAGGAGGGACCGCTTCACCTTTGGCGAGGTGTGCGCCCGGACAGCCGGCGGCCGCCGGCCGGACATGCGCCTACCGATGGAGGGCAGCGAGGCGGAGGCGTGGTCGCCGCTCCTGCGCGCAGTCGACCGCTGGGTGCGTCCCGTCCTCGAGAGGTCGCAGCTCGCCGAGGACGGCCCGAGCGGCGTGCGCGTCGACGGCGCCGGGTGCGTCACCGCGCTGCCCGGCGCGCCAGAGCAGCACCTCCACCCCGACGGCACCGCACGCGGGCTGGTCAACTGCTTCGCGCCGCTCGTGCGGGTGGACGCCGCCAACGGGCCGACCGAGCTGGCGGCCGGCTCCCACCACGCGGGCGCTTGCGAGGAGCAGCTCGCGGAGGATTGCTGCTTTGCGGCGCCGCACCTGCTGCCGGGCGAGCTGCTGCTCTTCGACTACCGCGTGCTACACCGCGGGAGGGCAAACTGCACCGCCGAGCCGAGGCCGGTGGCTTACGTGACCTACTCCACGCGGCGCGCCGTCAGCGACCAGCACAACTTCCCTGCAGACCGGTGGCTTTTGCCGCCGGCGACCGGCTCAGCGAGCACAACTCTTGGCCACGACGTTACACAGTGTGAGGATATTAGCATATTACGGTAGTGGCACGGACAGGGTGGAGTGACCATCCTCTCAGCGTACCTTCATTTTGAAAAAAGCGAAAATGGGTATATTACCAAAAGCTCACTGTAGGGCGCGTGGGGTAGTGTGTGCGGTGTCGCTGTGCCCCCTGTGCCCTGACACACATACACGTACCGTCCAAACCAGAGAACCGTGCGTTTGGTACGTACATACGTACGGGTACGCTGTGCTGCACTCTCTCCGAAGTTCTCTCCGTAACTGTGTCGTGTTGCCCTTTACCGAGTCGAGATCGCTGAGCTCTCGGTCAACGTTCCTCGTAAGTCTGCCTCCTGCGCGGTCTCTTTCGTCTGCGCGCGCTATCTCCTCTGCCTCTCACTTGTCGACGGTTCCGTCGCCTCCCTGTCGGCGCCTCTCTCGCCGGGCCTTCTTCGCCTCGTCTCGCCTGCGGTGCTTCTCCCGCTTACCCTCCTCTCGCTTCTGATGCCGCTCCTCCTTGTTGCTGCCGGCAGGGCGCTGGCTGCGGCGGCAGTTTGGCGAGCGCGAGATGGCGGCAGTTCCGCCGCTGCTGCCGGCGTAGCACCAGGTTGTGGTTGCGTTCACGGCCACGAGCCTCCAGTCCCCGCGGCTGCGCGAGCCCTCTGGCAGGACGAGCGCCGTGAGCTGGCCTCCGTACACGCACCCCGTGTCGATGCCGGTGGCGAAGGGGTGGAGCTGCAGCCGGCGGCGCGAGTCGTGCCCAAAGATGACGTGCGTCGGCCCGCGCCAGCTCGCCGCCCACGAGACGGCCCCGGCCGTTGGCGAAGGCAGGCCGGCGGCATCGAGGCTCCGCATCGCCGTCAGGTCGGCATGCTGCTGCTGTGCGAGCGGGACGCCCGCGCGCAGCCCTGCGTGCGCGACGATGGCGTTATGCTCCGGCAGCGCCAATCGGTCGGGCCGGCCGCGCAGCCACTCCACCTCGCCGCGCGTCAGCTGCTCGCCCGTCATTCTGTTGCCCTCGCCAGAGCCAGAGCGTTTTCCAGCGGGCACGCCCTGATCTCGCTGTTTCAGCCACGTGAGCAGGTTACGCTCGTGGTTGCCGACGAGTATCTCGCTGCCCGCTGCGGCTGCAGCCACAGTGTTGCGCGCAAGCCGCAGCGACGCAACTGGGTCGGGACCTTTGGAGATCACGTCGCCGACGAAGACGACCCTGTCACTCGGCCCGGGCGAGAGCCGGGCGAGCATCTGCTGCAGCTCTCGGTGGCAGCCATGGACGTCACCGATGACCATCGTCCGCATTTTAAGACGAGAGCTCGGGTGACTCGGGTGAGACTCGCTGACCGACGGGACACAGCAGGGCGCACAGCCAGGGGCGCACGTGCTGCAGAAGAATTTCCCGCAAAAGCTAGGGGTTCGTGGCATGTGTGTGTGTGTGTGGGTGAGAGAGAGAGAGAGAGAGAGCAGAGAGAAAACCGCCAATGGCCGTTATCCGTTAGTGCGGACGTCGCCGCGGCTCGCCTCTGCCGCGGCGGCTGCTGCGCGCACGCGGCGGCGCCGCTCTCTCGCGAGACGGCTGGCGACGCGGCTCGCCGCCGACGTACGGTGCGCTCGTCCGACGGTCCGCAGCGTGGAGTGCGCGGCGCTGAGCGCCGCTCTGCGAGCGCCTCTGCGCCTGCACTGCCTGTCTCTGTTGCTGATGGTGGTGGTGGTGCTGCTGCTGCTGGTGCCGATGCTGCTGCTGGCGCGGCGCGGCTGTGCGACTGGGCTCGACGCGCGCGTCGCGAGCGTCTGACGCGGCGGGCGGCGTCGGGCAGGTGCGCTTCTCTCTCGGGTGGTGGTGGTGGTGCTGCTGCTGCTGCTGGTGGTGCAGATGCTGCTGCTGGTGCGGCGCGGCTCTCCGACGCGACTCGATGCGCGCGTCGCGGCTATCTGACGCGGCGGGCGGCGTCGCGGGCGGCAGCGGTGGTGGCTCGCGGGTGGAGGTGGAGGCTGGAGGCTGTGGTGGACTTTGAGTTTATTTCATGGTCGAGTACGGGGACCGGGGGGTCAACCGGGAGGCAGGGGGCTCAACCAGGCGACGGAGGACCGTGGGCCATCGCGGGGACCAGCCCGTCCGGAGGACGCACTGGGTAGATCCGGATGGTCTTCACGCCGGTGGGAGGCACCGAGGCGTCTGGGACGCTCAGCTCTACCTTAAGCTCCTGAGGGGCGCGTGGTTGTAACCACGTAGTAGGACTACAGCCCACCACAGACACCCTCCCCCACTCCTCACGTGTGTTCACACCCTCACCCTCTCCTCTCTCCTCTCTCTCTCTCTCTCTCTCCTCTCTCTCCTCTTGTCTGTGCTGTCTGCCTGACTCAGGCACTCAATCTGCCGATGCGTGATTGTGTGTGGGCTGCTCCGAGGGGGCCCTCTGTGCGATCCGACGGGTAGGGGGGCTGTGCCCGGGCGGTGTCCGGTGTGGAGTCCCCTTCTGATCCCGCCTGGGATGTTGGGTGTGAGGTTGTGGCGGCTTCGATCCCAAGGGGGGGAGCTGATCCCACTCAATAACCAACTCTCAGGGGCAGTAGGTGGGCGAGCTTCAGGCACGCTCATCTCGATCGTCAAGACGTTGCTACGCGCGGTCTTCCGCGGGGGGAGCTGCGTCGACGGGTGCGGGACCGCGGCGCAGCCAGTGCCGCGGCGAGGCCTCCGGCTGTTTGCGGCGGGCGGGTTGCTGCTCGCTGCGATGGCGAAAAACTCGTCTCGCCACACGCCAAGGGCTTATGCTCTGGCGAGACGTGAGGCGCATGCGCCCAGGAGGGGAGGGGGCATGTGTAAGACACTGCTAGAGATGCCTTTCGGGGCCCAGAGATAAAACTTCTGTGATGCCATGCGTGACCTAGTAGTGTCCCCAGCTATGGGCGTGTCCACGTTGGAGCCAGGTGTGGTGTGGGCGCGAGAATAGCTCCGCCGTTCATGGAGGCAACCGATGCGAGTCGACTGGTGTGTGTCGTCGTGGTTTCGTATCAAGAATTCTCTCTCTCTCTGTGTGTGGGTGGGTGGGAGAGAGATCAACGACATGAGGTGAAGCTATGAGGAGGAGGATCGGGTCTGGATCAGTGATGAGGAGAAAGGTCGGTCGAGTACGAGGTCGAGAGGGATCGTGGTCGAGTACGAGGAGTCGAGGACTGGGGGGGGGAGGGGGTTCAACCTGGCGACGGAGGACAGTGGGCCATCGCGGGAACGGGTGCGTCCGGAGGGCGAACCCGGTAGATCCGGATGGTTTTCACACCGGTGGGAGGCACCGAGGCGTCGTGGGGACGCTCTTCTGTTCGGTCGACGCTGGATCGTCCACTGAGAACCCAGTGGTTGTCACCACTTTGTATGCTTTTAATATTAACCTTGCGAACTCGCCCCCCCCGGCAGGGCTATGCAACCGTGACCAGTGTGTGCTGTCTACGCCTGATCCAGGCGTGAAATCTGCCGATGCGTGATCTGTGTGTGGGCCGCTCTGTGAGGGGTCCAGGCATTGTCCGACGGGTAGGGGGTCTGTGCCCGGGCGGTGTCCGGTGCGGAGTCTCTCTCTGATCCCGCCTGTGATGTTGGGTGCGAGGTCGTGGAAGCTTCGATCCCAAGGGGAGGAGCCGATCCCACTCGTAACCAACTCTCAGGGGCAGTAGGTGGGCGAGCCTCAGGCGCCGAGGCGCGCTCATCTCGATCGACAAGGCGTGGCTACGCGCGGCCTTCCGCGGGGGGAGCTTCGTCGACGGGTGCGGGACCGTGGCGCAGACAGCGCTGCGGCGATGCCTCCGGCTGGTGCGGCGAGTGGCTTGCTGCTCGCTGCGATGGCGAAAAACTCGTCTCGTCGCACACCAAGGGCTTATGCTCTGGCGAGACGTGAGGCGCATGCGCCCAGGAGGGGAGGGCGCATGCGTAACGACGCTGCTAGAGATGCCTTTCGGGGCCCAGAGATAAAACTTCTGATGCCATGCGTGACCTAGTAGTGTCCCCAGCTATGGGCGTGTCCACGTTGGAGCCAGGTGTGGTGTGGACGCGAGAATAGCTCCGCCGTTCATGGAGGCAACCGATGCGAGTCGACTGGTGTGTGTCGTCGTGGTTTCGTATCAAGAATACTCACTCACTCACTCACACGTGATGCATGCGCACATGCTACATGCTACATGCACATGCACACACGTACATGCACATGTGCATGTTTGGCTTGTTGGGCCCAAAAGGGCCTCGCAATAGGGTCGTCGCCTAGGTTATTGTTCAGTTAGTTTGTACACCGATGCCGAGCAAAACTTCGGTTGCTGAAAGCCAGCTTGCCCAGCAGCGTCGACTCGGTGGCACGCATGCTCTCGACGCGACTCGTCAACTCAACTCGCCGTCGGGGGTGAGAGAAATCGCTTGGCCTTTATACGTTTTTCTCGCCCAGTACTATCTATATTCTTTTTCCGTATTCTTTCCGTATTCTTGTCCCAAACAGGGTCTATATTCTCGAATATGCCAAGAATACAGCTCCAAATCGGGCCTATATTCTCAAATATTCTTTATATTCCCGCTGAAAATCGCTCACCGACAACGATTTGAGATTTGGCCAGCAGTGCCCGCCAGCGCCGCAGCGCCACAAGCGAGAAGCGTGTCAGGTGCGAGCGGCTTCTTGCCACTGTCGGATCATCCGGCGGTGTGTGTGATTTGGGATGAGCCGAGTGAATTCGAGCTCCTCGCCCGTAAGAGGGCTGGTCGACTTGGTCGCGAGCCAGCGCTCGATCGCCGTCCGCTCGTATGAGTGCCCATCCGCCGCCATCACCGGGTCGACCATCACCTCGGTTGTGATCGGGCAAATGAAGTCGTCCGGCGGCTCCTCCTCTTCCACCGAAGGCGGCCTCCCTGCAGCCAAAGACGTTGACACTTGCTCGTCGGGCGCCCGCCTCTCCTCCTCCAACCTCGCGCTCTCCTCGAGCGCCGCCGCCAACTCCGCCTCCTCCGCCGCCGCCAGCGCTGCCTCATCCTCGGGCTCCCGCGACGGCCCAGCGCCGCCCCCGCCGCCCTTCCCCTTCTTCTTCTTCTTCCCCTTCTTGCTCTCCTTCGCGCGCTCCCCCGCCTCCTTCTCCTTCTCCTCCTCCGCCAGCAGCGCCTCGGCATGCCGCGCCGCCTCCGCCTCTGCCGCCGCTCTCTCCGCCTCCCTCGCCTCCGCCTCCCACGCCGCCTTCTCAGCCGCCGCCTCCGCCGCCGCGAGGGCGCGCAAGCACTCGGCGTGGCCCTTCTCCTTGGCCGCCTGCAGCGCTGTCTTGCCGTCAACATTGCGCGCCGCAGCAGCTGCGCCCGCCCGCAGCAAGCGCCGCACGACGGCGGAGTGGCCTTCGTTGGCGGCGCGCATCAGCGCGGTGACGCCTTTCCTGCTCTGCAAGTTGACCTCCGCGCCGTGCCGGATCAGCAACTCGACCACCCGCTCGTGGCCGCTGCGGGCGGCGACCATCAGCAGCGTGATGCCACTCACCTCGCCTCTCTCGTACGTCGCGTCGGCCCGCCCGCCGCCCTCAAGCCACGCCAGCACCGCCTCCTCCTCGCCTCGCTCAGCCGCTGCCACGACCTCGTCGGGGGCTGCCAGGACAGAAGCGCCGCCGGAGGAAGCGCCGCCTGCGCCTCTGCCGCCGACTGCCCTCGCCGTGGGCCGTCCCGCCACGACCGACTCCTTGACGTGCTGCCGGAACGCCTCGACGCACTCGGCGTTGCCCTTCTCCTTGGCCAGCTGCAGCGCCGTCTTGCCGCGCACACTGCGCGCCGTCGAATCTGCACCCGCCCGCAGCAAGCGCCGCACGACGGCGGGGTGGTTGAAGAGGGCGGCGTGCATCAGCGCGGTGACGCCTTTGCTGTCCTGCAGGTTGATCTCAGCGCCGTGCCGCAGCAGCAGCTCGACCACCCGCTCGTGGCCGTAGCTGGCGGCGTGCATCAGCGCGGTGAAGCCGCCACTGTTCTGCAGGTTGACGTCAGCGCCGCGCCGTATCAGCAAGTCGACCATCCGCTCGTGGCCTGCGCCGGCGGCGCCCATCAGCAGCGTGATGCCGCTCACGCCGCTTCTCTCGTACGTCGCGTTGACCCGCCCACCACTGTCGAGCCACGCCAGCACCGCCTCCTCCTCGCCACGCTCCGCCGCTACCACGATCGCATCGGGGGCTGCCACGCCACCGCTCGGCGCCCGCCCCGCCGCCACCGCTGGAGATGGCGTCTTCGCGACTCTCGATCCAGCCGAGGAAGCGCCGCCGGAGGAAGCGCCGCCTGCGCCTGCACCGCCGGCTGCCGTCGCCGCGGGCCGTCCCGCCACGACCGACTCCTTGACGTGCTGCCGGAACGCCTCGACGCACTCGGCGTAGCCCTCCTCCTTGGCCAGCTGCAGCGCCGTGCTGCCGCGCTCACTGCGCGCCGCAGTGTCTGCGCCCGCCCGCAGCAAGCGCCGCACGACAGCGGGGTGGCCGAAGAAAGCGGCGGTCATCAGCGCGGTGCCGCCTCTGCTGTCCTGCAGGTTGACCTCTGCGCCGTGCCGTATCAGCAAGTCGACCAGCCGCTCGTGGCCTTCCTGGGCGGCGGCCGTCAGCGCGGCGCCACCGAAGCTGTTCTGCAGGTTGACCTTCGCCCCGTGCCGTATCAGCAGCTCGACCACCCGCTGGTGGCCGTTGGCGGCGGCGACCATCAGCAGCGTGAGGCCGCTCACGCCGCCTCTCTCGTACGTCGCGCCGGCCCGCCCACCACTGTCGAGCCACGCCAGCACCGCCTCCTCCTCGCCTCGCTGAGCCGCTGCGATGACCTCATCGGAGACTGCCGCGGCACCGCTCGACGCTCGCTCCGCCGCCGCCGGCGACAGATTACCCGGCCGCACCCGCACGCTCTCGCCGCCGCCCTCGAGCGCCACAGCGTACCGCCCGCCCTCGAAGCTCTGCGCCACGCCCCGCTGCCCGTTCAGCTCGGGGCGGGCCGAGAGCCCGCCGAGCTCGACTCGCTGGCCGAGCAGCGGCGCGTCGGCAGGCGACGTGCCACCTGCTTCGTGCAGCATATAATATGTATGTGTACTAGTGTTGAAAATCGTGCACGGTGCTGCTCAAACGACACATGCGCTGCTCCCCAGTCACGCTCGAGCGTGAAATCATTCGTCACCTGCCCCGGTCCTCACTGGCTTGCCGGGGTCATGGGCCCCCCCCCTCTAGCGCCGCCGGAGGCGGCGTAGCTTCCGAGAAGCTCGGTCAGACACACGGGGGAGAGACGGACACCACATCATTACGAATGACGCAAAAATACGTCACGGAGAGCGTGTAGAATGGCTAATTTCGCCGAGAGCGCGCCGCGGGCGCACCTGGTATACGGCCCCGGAATGAGTCACTGATTAAAGTTGGGCGCCTTTGGTCGAGGCTTCCCCGGTCCTCACTGGCTTGCCGGGGTCATGGGCCCCCCCCCTCTAGCGCCGCCGGAGGCGGCGTAGCTTCCGAGAAGCTCGGTCAGACACACGGGGGAGAGACGGACACCACATCATTACGAATGACGCAAAAATACGTCACGGAGAGCGTGTAGAATGGCTAATTTCGCCGAGAGCGCGCCGCGGGCGCACCTGGTATACGGCCCCCATTTTCCTCCCCTGGGCCCCCCGTCCGGGACCGCTCCGGGACGCACGCCGGCGAAGGCGCGAAGCACCATCCGGGAGGCGGTAAGCCGTCGTCGCCCGGCGCTGCATGCAGCACCGTGGCGATGGCGCTAAGAGGTTCCTCTTTTCCGCGCCCCCCCCCGCAAGGCGCGCGATACACACCATCAAGCTGCTGCACGGCCCCGGCATCGCCTCCCCTGGCTTAGGCCTTAGCTAGACTGAGAGATATTGTGCACAAGGTTGGTCTCTACAATATATAAACTGACACTTTACCTCCAAGAGCTCGTCCCTCCTCCACGGCCATCCTCGGCCTCCTTCCTGAGTGTAGAGTGTGAGTGAGGGCCCCCGGCCGCGGCGCGGTGCGGCGGAGTCACAAATCCGACGGCAGAGCACCGGGACGCGGTCGGGCGATCTGAGGCCCAAGTAGGCGTATGCATTGCCCATCAGGGCTAGCACCTGGACCCATCAACAGGCGCTGCGGCGCCTGGGGACGAGGTGTTGTTCACACCTGAGGTAATGAAGTGGCATCCATGTCATCAACAAAGCCATGTCCATGAGTGCACTGCTGCGGGAGCCCGCCGTTCTGCGCGCATCCCGCGCACTGCCCGAAACTTCTGGCAGCAGCGGCGGTGCCGGAAGCGACGGTGCCGGCAGCGCCGGCAATTGCGGCGCGAGCAGCGGCGGCGCGAGCAATATTTGTGACGGTTGCGCCTACAGCCTGTTCCTCTTCATGATGCATGACGACGTCATGCTCTTGGTTCTGGAGCAGCTTCGTCTGTCCCGCGACGTGCCATCCCTTCTCTCTTGCCTGGCGTGCTCGCGCCTGCTCGCGTGCCTCACCCGGCAGGTCCTCCGCCAACACTTCCCGCTCTTCGAGCTGCTGCCCGAGCTGCTCGCCCTCCCCGCGCACCTGCAGTCGCACGTGAGCGAGCGGTGCAAGGTGCACCTCTCCGCCGGACGCCTCCCGGGCGGCCTTCTGCGCGACGGCTTGTACGCCGCCGTCCAGCGGCTGCTGCAGGGCGAGCTGCCGCCCGACGTGGAGTGGCTGGTCGTGCAGCAGTGGAGCAGCACGCTCGAGCAGGAGCTGCACGCGACGGCAGAGGCGCACCGCCGCTGGCGCATCGGGTACGTGGGCATGCCCCCCGGACGCTACTACCGCCTCGGCGGGCTCGACGACAAGGGCGCGTCGGAGCACTGGTTCCGCTTCCGAGGGGAGGAGGCGTCGGTGGCAGACTTCTTTGCAGAGAAGAGGCAGCAGCCGCTCCGGCGGCCGCAGCTGCCCTGCATCCTCGCGGGGCCCCGCTCGAACCCGGGCCTCATCCGCCTCCCGCTCGAGCTGCTCCGGTGCGAGAAGCCCTCACGCACACCCACCACACTGACACACACGCACGCACGCACGCACGCACCCCCCCCCCCCCACACACACACACCTCACCCACGCGCACTGGGCCTTGCACTGTTAATGACGTGGGGCTCACGCCGCGCCGGCGGTCGCGAAGGCCTCCTCACACACCGCCCTCTCGGATCGGCAGGTTCGAGGAGCCGCATGACGCGGCCGCCCGCCCGCCGCAGCCTGACGAGGTCGCGGCGATGCCGCCCGCCCTCCGCGGGCTGGTCGAGTACATCTGCCGAGGCGCGGAGCGAGAGCGCGACACGCCGGACGCGGGTGGGTGTCCGCTCACTCGGCGCGGTCGTGATTCCGAACTAGGCGCGGAAACCAAGAGCGAGCCGGCTGCTTCGGTCTGGCCCGACGGGCCATACAGCGCGGACGGGCTCTACTTCTTGTGCTGACGCCCATGTGCCATGACAGCCATCTTTCTCCGCTCGAGAAGTGATGCCCTAGACACCTGAGAAGTGATGGCCTCACGGCGGTATGCGAGATCGTAGTCCCCTGCTAGAGCTCAATGAGCGACAAAATCACACCGTCTGTGTGCAACCATGTACCATGCCTATGACTGCTATGAAGTTGGTGTTCCGCAAACCTCGATCTACGTAATTCTTCCACTCCAACGCGTCTACCACGCCGGCTCCTACCCGGATACGGGGTCTGTTGCCACTGCGGACTCGCGCCATAGAACCTGACGGCGTGAGGGGGGGGTCGGGGTAGGGGGTGCGCAGCGCCCCAAAATCCAGCGCTGTGGGATTTCGCGCAATCGCTTGACTCTGAAAAGCTCGCATATCCCTGCGGTGAGCGCTGTGGTCGCCGCAGACTGGCTCCGACTTGACGGCGGCATGGAGACGTGATGCCTCCATGCCGCCGTCGAGTCAAAATCGACATGCGAGTCGATCTTTGGCCCGCCAGAGGGATATGCGGCGTTCGGGCGACAAATAGCGCTGCGACCGCGAAGTGGCGGTGGACATGCTCCCACGGTGCCGACGCGGCGCCGGAGTGGCCGGCGCTGCTCGCCGCGACCACGACGGCTACTCTGATGCTCCGGGCCGACCCGTCCTACCCGACGGTGGCACTCTTCCACGTCGCGTCTCGCTCACGCTGAGAAAAAATCTGAAACGGCGTGCAGCAGAGTCACCGACGAGTCGGTCCGCGTGACTCCTCGTGTCCCGTACCGTTCTCACACATCCATAAACTCACTTTGGCCCCACTGAAGCGATGCCTGAATCCTGAATCCTCAGATTTTAGATTAGGACGCTGCGCAATGACTAGTCGGGGGAGTAGAGACAGTAGAGGATGTACAAGAGTGTAGAGCGCTATAGAGCTGAAGAGCGGTGGAGCGCTGTAGAGCTGTAGAGCTCTACATCCGGCGCGGGACAGAGCGATGCAGATGTAGAGCGATGTAGAGGCGCTCTACAACGTGAAATCTCTACAACAAACTCTCGGCGCCAATCGGTTTTGTCGTCAGCAGAGGGGCTCGCAGTCAGAAGCTCTGGAGGCTTGTCGGAGACGAGGCTGAGCCCTCGTATCTTGCTCACCAGCGTGTCGCACTCGGAGCGGGCCGGGCTAGTCTCGAGGGCCACTCCATTTGTAAAATTCCACTCTATTTGTAAGGATGCCATCCTATCCCATACACAGGAAGAAGACTAAAAATCTCTCTCTACACAGGATGGCCAGGTAGAGGTAGGGCTGGGAGAAACCTGTTGAAAGGAACTCGGGGGCACAGGGCGAGGCACAAATCTGAGCACCCGTGATGGTGCGGGGTGGAAAGAAATCCTACAGTTGTAAAACCGCTGAAATTCCCCGCCGAAATTGAAAAATCGGCGGCCGCGGCATCGAACTCGCCGACCGAGGACCGAGGAGTCACAACGCCGGGGCCCTCGTCGAACACTCCAGGGCCGATCGCGAGCCTAGTCTCGTTCTTCCCGAGCAGCGGTACGCCAGCGGCAAACCGCGCGCCGCTGCGCATCAGCACAGACCACTCCGCCGAGCAGAGTTCCCGCCTGCTCGCATCTCTGCACTGCGTCTAGAGAGTGCCACTCTGTGTCCGCAGCCGCGAGGGCCACTCGAGCGCTGGCCTGCACCTCCCATCGGGGACGCCACCTTCAACCGCTTCTGGACTCTCTGCAGGAATTCATTCGATCAACATGCTCAAACTCGAGTTCGTGCCGGCCGCCGGTGACAAGCTCGTGCTCAAGCTCTCTCCTCCGCCGCCGCTTGCTGACAAGCAGGTGTGCGTTAATTTGCAGTGGCTGAGGGAGTTGGTATGCACACGCGCACCGCTGCAACGCACGCGACGCTGCGCCTTCGCTGCAAGACTATCCTCTCGCGTTCTGTGGCTGACAGGCGTCTCTGGCGGACAACACGACTGTCATCGACTCTGGTGGCGGAGGCAACGCCGTCGGCATCCCCTCCGAGCCCGTCTCGCTCAAGGATGGCATCGATACCGGCACCGGCGGCACCGGCACCGCCAGCACCGGCACCGGCAACGGCCCGCCCGAGGGCGAGCCCGGCCCGCTCAAGGACGGCATTGACGCGGGCGGCGGCAACGTCGCGGGCGAGTGTTGTCGCCGATAAAGTCCTTCGCGAAGGTCGGAATCGTGCCGGCTGACGACGGCCGCATCACGCTCGTCATCTCCGCGTCGGTGTCGCCTTCGCTCCTCGGAGCCAAGGTGCGCGTGCGCACGCCAGGATCGTGATCATCCCTCTCCCGTCTCCGAAAGCTTGCGCGTACTCTCCCTCGCCCACAGGCGTGCGGCGTCAAGAACGTCAACATCTCCGTGGCAAAGTCTGGCCCGGACGGCGTCCTCAAGAAGGACTCGGCCGCGGAAAAGGCGCCCGACGCGGGCGCGGTCGACTCGGACAAGGCCAAGGCCATGTTTGCCGCCCACGCGCCGAGCCCCGCTGTTTTCTGGTCCACCGGCGCGCCGCGCGCATGCGATTAACAAGTGCTCTCCCCACCAGCTGCACCACAACACCACCTTGTCAGGAAAACAAAGAAAGCCGTCCGGCTCCGCCTGAATTGCCACTCGCCACACGGCAGGTGCGCCAGCTGTCGAACTGACCCGCAGCTCCTCTCAGAGCGGGAACTGTGACAAAAGTTGACTGAGGCGGTTGTCAGGAATCATCATACGGATCACATGGTGGCTCTTTCATGACGGGAGACCGCCCGACCACTCCTGGGGGTGGCACTGCCATCTGCCACCGGTGTCGCTCGACGACCTGTCGACAGCGTGCCGACAGCGACACATACCATGTGGGACGCGTCGATTATCGACCTCTACTGCTTACCCAGCCTTCGAGTGTATCCTGGCTGTGGTCCCACACCCACTGGTGTCCATCTCAGAGACCGCAGGAGCGAGGAGGTCATGAGGGTCGATGGGAGTGCCAACCCCACAACCCAGCCCAGTATGTCGCTGATCTATGTACGTAACGTAAGTGCGCGATTCTACATCAAATTAGTACCCGCAGGCTCCACACCGATCACCGCTCAGCGCTCTACCAACCTGGTTTGTGGAGCTCCCGCAACTGTCCTGACAGTCCTGACAGAGTCCTGACAGAGTCCTGACAGAGTCCTGACAGAGTCCTGACAGAGTCCTGACAGAGTCCTGACAGAGTCCTGGCGGGGTCCTGACGGCGCACGGTCTTCACAGTGCTCACAAGTGCCTCCGAAGAGACTTCCACCTTCCTTCACTGCAACCCTCCTTCCCCTCCCCCCCAGCAGTGAATGATAGACGCCCAGCCCCCCTTTCGACCGTGCGCGCCCTCTGCGGAATCGTCCTGATGGGGCAGTCCTGACGCAAACTTGAGAGTCCTGACAAGCAAACTTGAGAGTCCTGACAGAAACTTGAGAGTCCTGACAGAAACTTAGAGTCCTGACAGACAAAAGAAATCACGCTGGGTCTCGCGCCACTCGGCCGACCATGAAAAGCGCACAAGCAAGAGAGGCGCGGCCATGGTGCAGGCAAGGTTACAGCCGGCAACGTGCATAGGCAGCAAAGCTCGGCCACGACGTCCATGGCCCGCGCGCCCCCGATTTGCCACCGGCAACCTGCAGGCCAGCGCCGAGCAGCGCGGACGGCTGACTGACTGCTGACCGAGGCAGCGCCCACGGCAGCGCCCACGGCAGCGCCCACAGCAGCACCCACGGCAGCACCCACGGCAGCGCACACGGCTTGGCTGGCCATGTCAGCCGCGCAGGGACCCTCCCGCGGGTCCAACCCGAAGCGCTCGACCGCTCGACAGCGCAAGTCGGCTGACGGAGCGAGCCGCATAGCCCTCCAGTGCTCACCGCAGGATCAGGCCTGACCGGCCCACGCTCACGGCCTGGCCTGCCTGTGGACCAGCAAACTCGTTGGGCTGCGTGGCTGGGTCGATACCGTCCCCGTGCGCCCTTTCCCTCAGTGGAGGGCCGTCCCTGCCCTCGGGAGTAACTCGACTGTACACCCCTCCCTACTCTCTAGCTAAGGGCTCTATTCACAGCGGGGACAGTGGTTGTCCTGGCGGAGTCCTGACGGAGTCCTGACAGAGTCCTGACGGAGTCCTGACAGAGTCCTGACAGAGTCCTGACAGAGTCCTGACGGAGTCCTGACAGAGTCCTGACGGCCTATTTTGGAGTTTTTCAACTTTGAGGTATTGTAACTATGTGAAGGCACTATGAATGCATCAGTTCTTTGGGAGAGTGCAATCCATTTAGTTATTACCTCCAACTCAAAAAAAGTCTGGTGGCAAACGGGCAATGGGGTCCCTTATGGTGGCCTCTACGGGTAAGTTGCGGTGGTCGCAGGGCGGGTTTGGGTGGCAGCTTCTCCTAAACTCGCGCCAGGCCATTGGCAGGCCGTCCCCGCCAAGGAGGTGCACTACGTGTGTTACCCCGACCTCTGCGAATCGCACCGATCGCTCGTAGACCTCCCGTGCGTCTTCCTCTCTTTCATTGGTCCACCGGCAGAGTTTGGGTTTCGGTTTCTTGTCTCTGGCCAGTCGCTCCCAGTCCGGGCTGTCGAGTACCGCTGCGCCCCACCAGCCCGACAGGTGTGGGTTGTAGAATAGCGGCTCCATTAACACGCGTCCGATCGACCAAAGCCCCCCCACTCGCACTGTCCTCGGTACGCCCGCCCTCGCCTGTCGGTACGTGACTTCAGGTGTGTGGTCTTTCTGTGCGGCGTCCTCACCATCGTACGGTACCAGTCCTCTCAGAGTGCCATGCGTCTTGAGTGCGATGCGCCAGTAGGCGGGCATCGTCTCGGGGAGATTGAGAAAATCGCACGAGGAGTGGAAGAGCCGTCGCCCCATGCGGAGGTGCCCGTATGCTCGATTGACGTAGGACGCCACTATATTCACGCCTTTGTGTGACGACGGCGTGACCAGGCGGCTCACCTGGCGCTGGTATAAGCTGCGTGTGAATATCTCGATGTCCCGGCAGTGTTGTCCGCCCTCGGGTCGCTCTTGGATGAGCGTCTCGCGTTTTACCGCGTGTCGGCGTGTCTGGTGCAGGCCCTCCGCGTTTGCCGGCGCCTCAAAGAAATTCCACGCGTACCGCTGCCATTTCTCGAGCATTTGGGGTAGGTTGGGCGGCGTCTGCGACTGCACCAGGTACCACGCACAGGATTGCACGTGATTCTTGATGACTATATTTCGGCCCCGTCTTGAGCGAGGCATGCCTCGTCCCACCCATCGCTCATACCGCTTCTCCATCTTTGCCGTCACAGTCTCCTCCCACTTGCGGGCTATCCTCTCTGGGGCGCCGAGGAAAATGCCGAGATATCGGATGAGCGGGCTCGTTGTGTTGATGTCGCGCCCCTCCTCCCACCCCTGCGGCAGGTCGGTCGAGTCACGGAGCGACCCGACCCTCATGCCAAAAGTCTTTGACCATGAGTTCAGCGCGCCCGACCCATCCTCGTAGATATTTAGCAGTCGTTTGAATTCATTGAGCTGGCCGGTGTTTCGTAGGAATATTTTACAACAAGAGAGAGACGTCTCAACTTCGCAGCCTTA